CTTCATCTCTACTAAAAATACAAAAAGTATCCAGGGGTGGTGGCCTGTGCCTGTAGTTCCAGCTACTCAGGAGGCTGAGGCAGAAGAATCTCTTGAAGCCAGGAGGCGGAGGTTGCAGCGAGCCAAGATCGTACCACTGCACTCCAGCCTGAGCAACAGAGTGACACTCTATCTCAAAAAAAAAAAAAAGAATGTTGATATTGAATCAACCATATCCTTAAAATGAAGTGGCCCGGCCTGTGGTATGTCTCTGGCTTGGCCTCAGTAGGTGATGTCAGTGTTAAAGCCCGAATCTCTCTTCTCCTAGGTGTGGTGCAGATAGTGGAGGTGGTCTTGAATGGGATGGTTCTCATATGCATCGTGGCCTCCTACTTTGTCCTTGCCGGATTCAGTGCCAGCTTTTCCAGCGGTGGTGGCTTTGGAAACAACTACTACTCACCGTTCGAGGGCACTGAGCTGGAGCAAGTTCGGCAGCTGGACCAGAAGTACACAGTCCTCCGGGCACCCCTGATATATGGTGGTGTGGCTGTTTCTCTGGGGCTGGGGGTCCTCACCATTGGTGTTTTACTCCAAGGAGCTAAGAGTCTGACAGTGTTGCCAGGGAAGTGGCTCCTCATGGAGGCCGCCTTCAGCCTCCTAGCGGCAGTGGGCTACTGCGCAGGCATTGGTGTTTATCTCCACGTAGCTCTGCAGATCAATAGCACTGACACTTGCAAAACAAGAGAGAGACTGTATGCCCGCAGGGGTCTCACCTGGATGAACTGCCAGCTGGCAGGCACTGATGGAGCAGCAGCCACCTTTGCTTGCCTTCTGGTGATCATGTATGGCGCCAGTGTGGTGCTGGCCCTGCGGAGCTACCGAGAACAGAAGCACTACAAAGGCAGCCAAGAACAGCCCAGAAGTTACCGTGATGCACCGGAATACCTGTGGTCTGGAACACTCTGAGATCTTCCAGAACCTAAATGTGAACCCACCATGGTTGCTCCGTTGTTTCTCTCAAAAAGACAGATCTTCTAAAACCCCACATTAGACAACTATGGTTTTCACACACACGACTTTATACATGCTCCCTTTGGACCTAGGCAAAGTTAAGTAATTGAGGTCAGGCATGGTGGCTTGCCTGTAATCCCAGCACTTTGACAGGCAAAGGCAGGCAGATCACCTGAGGTCAGGAGTTTGAGACCAGGCTGGCCAACATGGTGAAATCCTGTCTCTACTAAAAATACAAACATCAGCTGGGCATAGTGGTGGGCACCTGTAATCCCAGCTACTCTGGAGGCTGAGGCAGGAGAATCACTTGAACCCGGGAGGCAGAGGTTGCAGCTGGCCAAGACCGTGCTATTGGACTCCAGTCTGAGCAAAAAGAATGAAACTCCATCTCAAAAAAAAAAAAAAAAAAAATCCAAAAAAATCAGCTGGGCTTGGTGGCGAACACCTGTAATCCCAACTACTCAGGAGGCTAAGCCACAAGAATCACTTGAACCCGAGAGGCAGAGGTTGCAGTGAGCAACGTCCACTCCACATCATTGCACTCCAACCTGGGCAACAGAGCGAGGCTCTGTCTCAAAAACAACAACAACTAAAAGATAGGACAGTTAATTTTATTAGACTATGAAGGCTTTTTCATTTCTGCATTTCCTGACAGTGCTCCATACAGTAGGCCTTCAAAGGTAGATAGTAATCTCATTACCTTGAACTGTTCCCATAACGTAACAGATCACTAACAATGAATCTTCAAAATAAAGTTCTTTCAGTAATTTTAATCTTACATGTTTTATATCTATTTACCGAGACCAGCTTGGCCGCACAGACCCCCCACCCAGGCAGCGCTGAAGGCATTAAGAAGCAGATACCCAGATAGAACAACAAAGTGGGACTACGTGGGGGTCAGCAGCCTTCCAAGTTGAGAGCCTCAGGGGCTGACAGCATTCTGGGCTGAGGGCCTCGAGCAGATTTTGACCCACATAGTTATTCTCTCTGAACAGGTGATTATTATTAACAAACAGGTGTTCTGTGTTTTCTCTTAGAACCAAGATAAACTAGATAGGCAGCTGGTGCCTGCTTACCACTGATCAAGGAGAAACCAGAAAGTATTCTCCACGAGGGAGCCACGGGGGCAGGGTTACATATCCCGTGCTTAAAGAATTGTTTTAACCGGTGTGTAATATACATATACTGCTTTGCTACTTTAGAATGCCCCAAGCAGTTTTCCACTTGGGGCGGGGGCAGCTAGGTTTTCCTTGCCATCTTTCTTCCCAGCAAACAATATAATTTTATACACTCAGCGTTTTTCGACAATCATACACTCAGCATTTCTCAACACCTATTCTTATACTTTACAGCTAGTCTCAAATATATCAGTTCAAATCAGATGCAACTAGAAATACACATTCTTGTTATGGTCTTTTTTCTAATTGTCCTCTTGCTTTTTAATCGCTAATTCTTATGGAACTTGTCCAGGACAAAGGATCAAAACTAAGCCTCCTACCTAAGTGGAAAAGATCTAGATTATACTTTTACAAAAATAAAGCTTGGAAAATAATAAAACTGGAAATCTACATTGCTAGGTTAAAAGTTGTGGTGCTACAGAAAAATGCCTCCACTCCATCACCCTTAGTCCAAGGCAGCGGCTAGAGTCTCACACAATTTTCACTGAGTGGTAGATGAGAAGGATGACTGCAGCCAGAATCAAGCGACACACTCTCCGTCTACCCTCCAGAGAAATACCACCAAGTCCAGCCACTATTCTCACCTAGCATGTATTCCCTGAAATAGGTCCCTATTAGATCCTTGCCCATGTCTGGGTCCTGTGGTTGAGAAAGTGGAAACTTTGGCCTGATCCCAACCTTGTGACCAGGCCCAGCCCCAATACTGCTCCCAAGAGGCAGCTCCTCTCAACTAAATGGAGCCATCACTGTAACAATACTTCCATGTCTTAATAATGTTTGTGATGCTTTAGCATACCTTCTCTTACTCCCACTTCAGTCAGACAGACCAAGGTGTCTTGTTCACACTTTACAGATGAGCCAACAAGGTTCAAGGTTAGGTGGTTTACCAAAGAGTTAATGCTGTGTGCCAGGTATGTACAGTACTGATAAAGAAGCCCTTTGCATCTTCTCATTTAGCCCATGACTGATGACAGGTATATTAACATTTAATAAGAACAGCCTTAGAGAGGTTAACTTGCCTGAAGTCAAAAAACTTTTAACTAGCAGAGGCAAAACAGCCCCACTGAATCACACACTGCAAGGTGTTCTGAGTGACTAACATACTCTTCTGGCCTTTGGTGTACCAGGGAATTTATATCACATGGCATTGATTCATTTCTGCCATGTTGGCCCAGAGAGGTGTGTCTAGTGGAACTGCAGTATTAAAGCATGTTAAAGGTGCTCAATAAATGGTTGTTCAACCAAGTGTTTAAAATGGTCCTTCTGGTCAGGCATGGTGGCTCACGCCTGTAATACCAGCACTTTGGGAGGCCAAGGGGGGTGGATCACCTGAGGTCAGGAGTTCAAGACCAGCCTGGCCAACATGGTGAAACCCTGTCTCTACTAAAAACACAAAAAACATCTGCCAGTGTGGTGGCACATGCCTATAATCCCACCTACTTGGGAGGCTGAAGCAGGAGAATCATGAACCCAGGAGGCAGAGGCTGCAGTGAGCCGAGATAGCACCATCGCACTCCAGCCTGGGTGACAGAGCAAGATTCAATCTCAAAATAAATAAATAAAATGTTCCTTCAGCTAGATGAAGAGGAAACCTATGAAATATCTTTACCTTTATTTAAAATGAGAGGTAGCAGGCAGCCTGCAGTGGCTCATGCCTGTAATCCTAGCACTTTGGGAAGCCAAAGCAGGTGGACTCCTTGAGCCCAAGGGTTCAAGACCAGCCTGGGCAACACAGCAAAACCATGTCTCTACAAAAAACAGAAAAATTGGCCAGGCGCGGTGGCTCAAGCCTGTAATCCCAGCACTTTGGGAGGCCAAGGCGGGCGGATCACGAGGTCAGATCGAGACCATCCTGGTCAACCTGGTGAAACTCCATCTCTACTAAAAATACAAAAAATTAGCTGGGCACGGTGGCGCATGCCTGTGGTCCCAGCTACTCGGGAGGCTGAGGCAAGAGAACTGCCTGAACCCAGGAGGCGGAGGTTGCGGTGAGCCGGGATTGCGCCATTGCACTCCAGCCTGGGTAACAAGAGCGAAACTCCGTCTCAAAAAAAAGAAAAAAACAGAAAAATTAAGATGTGATGGTGCTCACCTGTACACCTGGCTACTCAGGAGGCTATGGTGGGAAGTTCACATTAGCATGGGAGGTAGAGATTCCAATGAGCCAAGATCATACCACTGCACTCCAGCCTGGGCAACAGAGCAAGACCCTGTTTCAATCAGTTGACAGGTAGCTCATCTTGCCTAAAAGTCCAGAGATAGTGAGAGACATACATGAGAGTGGGAGTGGAGGAGCAATAATTTAGAGGCTTAACTGGATTCTAAGTATCTCATGAACCAAGACTCTGAAGTTCCTTCTTACACCAAAGCCTTGCCGAAAAACATGATGACCGGCTTTTCCACGGCTTCTGTGTCATCAGCTGTCATTTAGACAGAGGAGCTGTGGACTGTTTACAATTGAGTTTCTGCTAGTCAGAAAATAACCTGCATGTCAATAAGGATGGCATTTCCTGATTTTTTTCCTTTTTCCAGTTTTCTGATTTAAGCATATAAACAGCATTTCTTTTTTAATAAGGTATTTCTTAAAAGTAAAAATCTGCATTGCCATTTCAGCTGAAAAGCTGATCAAAAACATTTATTCTTCCCTTAACTCTTACGTTTACAGCGTCCTGGAATGTGGTTTCATGTGTTTGTTCTCACTTATCTTCCCCAGGAAAAGCAGAAAAATCCTGCAGATGCTCTTGGTTAAGAACCCAATTCTACATACAAGTTTGGAGAGAAAATTATAGCTTCATGCTAAAATACTTAGGAAAAAACAAGCACTCCATTTTCAAACACAGCCATGAAAAAGAGATTCCGCTTTATTTTATTTATTATTGTTATCATTATTTTTACAAACAATAGATTTGCTGCAACATGCTCTGGCTCATATTATTGAATTAAAAAATTTAACACATTTCAAAAATATCAAAAATACACTATAATGAGTCTTAGGACTACAATACAACAATGATTGCACAAAACCATAAGATATGAGCCCACTGTCTGGATGACATCCACCAGCAACAGTGAGAAAAAACCCTATAGCATCTGGGAGAAGTGCATGAAATTTAGAATACAAGGAGCTTATGTGTGACTGACTGATCACCAAATGAGGGAAACAGAGCAGGATTGACTGTAGCTGCTTTTCTCAATCTAGGAAGTGCATACCCAACTACGGGGCAAAAGTCACTAACTGGAGAGAAAGATTAACTTGCCTTCATGATTGGGGAGTCTGAAAGGCTCCACCCAGAAGGCAGTAAAAAGTGACACGAGACAGTTCTATAGTGATGCTGAAGACATCACTGAATGGCTTGGAGACTATTTAATAATTGGTACATTTATCGGTAACAGCCAGCTGCTCCCTTATGGAGGTCTCTCCATTAATAATTATTGGATAGAGAAGGTGAGCCTGTGGCTTCCAAGTACTGGCTTCTGCTGAAGGTCTACATGGGAAGAAGAGCATCATTTGATATTCAGTAGTTTTGCCACACCCAACTGGCTCCATTTCCTGGAAAACAGCCCTCACTACAGGCAACTGTAATAGCACCCAGCGATGACCATGCTGCTCCTGCTGGCTCTTCCATACACCAGTAAATGAACTCACCAATGTATTGCACACATAGGCTCCACAGTAGTGCAATAAAGCCCTCACTTGTATCAGGAGTGGTAATTCAATAACTTGACTCTATAGTGTACTGCAGCTTTGTCATAGTGACATTCAAATTTTTAAATATACTTTCAATCCATTTGGATCAAAATAACACCAAGGCTGCCAAGACACATGTATTTTTCTTTCTTCCATGGACTCCTAAACTGCTCCCATAAGAAGCAGTATTCTTTTCTCAGAAATTCTCTTAAGCTTCTCTATTCAATGGGAGGTACACACAGAGACCTGAGAATATGCAGAGGCCAGAATCTCTGTGCTAGAGATCAACTGTACTCCGCCCACCTGGGGAACACATCCTCTGAGTAAAGTACTCGTAAGTAGATTACATTCACCTGGAGACAGATACGGGCTTTCACTAACAGCCTGTTCAGAAAACACAATATCTGTAAATTACCTTATAGGTTAAAGAGTTTTTTATTATATTTTTCATGATGGGTTATGGCCTTTTTACCCTGTTTTAATACAGAGCAACTGCAGAAGGACATGAATTAAAGGAGACTGCAAAAAAAAATAATCAGTTTTAGTATTGCCTATAACAGATTTTCAAATCAACTTAATGGTTCCTGAAAATAATTCTACCACATAGAAGAACATTTGGAATTACAGAGTTCTGTTGACTAAAAAGTAAATACATTTATTTTTGGAAAGGTCATTTCAGAACTGGATTTTGAAGTGGTTCCAATAAGTGGAGTGGAAAGCAAATAGCAGACATGAAAGGGGTTCACAATACAGAATACTTTTTATAAGACTATACTGTTAAAGTGGTATATTCCCAAAATAACTTTAATTTTTAGACATCACTATTCTACAACCCGAGGATGTTTTACAACACTCATCACTATCAGCTTGGGTTATTTTTCATTTTTTTCTTATTAAAAAAATTTTTTCCCATATAAAAATAAGGTGGCAAAACACTCTTGTTCCCATCTTTCTAACAGCACCTGAACTCTGTGTGAGCCACTATGTTCCCTACTTCAAATCAAAGACCTGAGTTCTAAAATTTTTCAACAGCTGACCAGTAGTTTGACAATGTGGGGACTCAAGTTCAGATTCTCAAGGGATCAAACTAGACATCCATTAGAGTGTACCAAATCCCCCGAGAGTGTACCCCAATGACACGTGCATCTGGGCATGGGGCCTCTGAGAAGATGAAGACACGTGATTATTATGGACAGGTCATCTAGCTTTTGACTATTGCTTTTAACAAAAACTTCAAAAAACACACACATGAAAACATATTTATATTTAACCCTCTCTTTAACATATTGTTTCTCATGAAACAAATTAAAAATGGCTCTACTCTATTTTTAATTGTGAAAGTGTTCCAAAAATTCAAAGCACATTCCCCACTGGGTAAAATCAAGCAATGCCAAAATTTTGGGGAATAAATAGAAATTGATTTTCCTAAGTAAATCTTACAATGGAAAAAGTGACAAAAATATGGAAGAAACTGAATTTTGCTACAGTTAAGTGGAATGTGCAAAAAATACAGGTTTTCTGTAAGCTTAAGAATTTCTCAATGAAGTGTCTTTCTTATGTTGGTATTGAGCCCAGTATTCTGAAACCACATAAACTGAATATGCAGTTTTCAGAAGAGTACACTGTTCAACATTCAAGAGGTGGGCTCTCAACTCACTTCTAACATTCTAGAAGACAATCCCTCTCCTCCAGCATAGGAGAAGAAACAAGTCTAACCTGAGTACTCCATCCATCTGTTCTCATTGGCCTCAATCCATTTCAGTGTCATCTGCCGTAACTTAAGGTCACCTGGACGCAAGCAGTGTTAGCCTTGGCCCTCCCCATTAGGAGGCTGTCTGCCAACTCCTCCACATGTTAGGAAAGAGGCCAATCCCTAAGTTTCCCTGGGAAATTCGTAGCAGGTGTCATATTTGTCAAGGAGTAATTCTCTTTCTCTGATCTAGGGAGAAGTAGTCTTGGTCCTCCCTCCTTCCCCCTTTTCAGCCCCAAGAGAAGATCCTGCTACCCCAAGGTTCTCAGGAGCGTTCACAGTCTGACATCTACCAGTTAAGTCAACTTCCCAGGGCCCTTCCTAGTACCCTTGGATAAGGCTCCAACACCCAATTCTCTCTCTGCCTAGGATGAAGGTGCCGGGCTGCCTCTAAGATTGGCTCTAGTGCAGATTCAAAAATAAAAAGTTCACAGTCAATGCAAAGTGCTCTCATTGTATTACATACATAAAGTATCTGTTTGATTGGTTCTACATTTCCAACAGACATCATTTTGATAGGCTGTATTCTCGTAGAGAAGAATGAAAACCCATGTGACTAGTCACATCACACCTCATTAGTCTGAGATAAGGTGATTTCTCTGTCACAGAGATCCATCAGCAGCAACTAGTAAAGAGAATCAATCTTCACTTTTTTCCTCCACAGAAATAGTCCCTTTCCTGCCCAGGCAGGCAAATTCTCAAAGTGATCCTAGGAGAGAAAGGGTTAATGGCAGGTGGTAGGACTGATACAGAACAGCTGCTTTCTTCCCAGTACCCCTGGGAGTTCCAATGCAGGTTAAATGTGAAACTTAACACTGATAGTGGCTACTAGTTTACCCAGAGCCAGCCCCTGATGGCTCTCACCCTTTCTGGCTCTGAGTTCAATCCCACACAGCTATGGTTAGAAATGTAGAGGCAGGGCCGGGCACACTGGCTCATGCCTGTAATCCCAGCACTTTGGGAGGCTGAGATGGTCGGATCACCTGAGGTCAGGAGTTCAAGACTAGCCTGGCCAACACGGTGAAACCCCGTCTCTAAAAAAAAATACAAAAAAAAAAGAAAAGAAAAGAAAAGAAATTAGCCAGGCATAGTGGCGAGTGCCTGGAATCCCAGCTACTCAGGAGGCTGAGACAAGAGAATGGCTTGAACCCAGTAGCGGAGGTTGTAGTGAGCCGAGATTGTGCCATTGCACTCCAGCCTGGGCAACTGAGCAATACTCCATCTCAAAACACATACACACAGACACACAAAAGAGAGAGAGAGAGAAATGTAGAGGCGGAATGCCTCTAGCAGGACCCTACCCCAACCCTGCACAGCCTCCTCCCACACTGTGCCCAGCAGAGCAGTCATAGCGCTGTGTCAAACTCCTCTGGGGGTTCGGTCCGATCCTCTTCATACGGCTCAGGCTCAAGCCGGCTGTCCTGGTGCTGTTTCATTTGTTCCTTCACTTCTTCTTCCAGGTCGCGAGGTACAACAAACTGGTCCTCTGGTTCCATCTGAGTGGGGGCAGCAAAATAGCCAGTTTTCCTCTTGGGTGCTTCTGTGGCCACTTCAATGAGGTTCAGGCTGTCCTCTAGGGGCACAATAGAACCATTGGAGAGCTTCTTCCCATAGAGGCAGGAGGTGGAGGGAGACTTCTGTAACTCCATCCTGTCCTTGCTCATTGGCAGGAGGATGCCACTATTCACACTGTTCTGTCTTCGGATCCCAAAGCACGACCCTCTAGCACGTTCCTCAGAACATGGGGTAGAAGCACTCTCTGTGAGAGGGGGTGAGCTCTCTAGATCCCGGCCCCTGCAGCAGTGAATGTCTACTTCCACCTCTACCTTGCTGCCATTTGTTATGACTCCCTCAACAGGCTGGTCATCATCACTGTCCAGGCCATTGTCAGACTGGTTACTGGAGAAGGTGGCACAAGAAGGCTGGCGCTGAAACAGCCCAGAGGTTGGTGTTGGGTGGAGGCTACAGCGCCGCTCTGGCCTCGGAAGCAAGGCAGCATCCAGGCCCCCAGCATTATGCTCATCAGAAGCAGTGGACCCCACTTCACTGCTCACCTCTGAGGTGGACATCTCACTGCTGAACTCAGAGGCAATCCCACTGCTAGAGGAAGGAGTGGCTGGCTTAGGGGCATCCTTGATGGTGGTGGTTGAAGCAAACCCCACAGGACCTGGGAGGGTGAGCCCATTCATTTCACAAGTACAGCCTTCCTCACCAATATTCAAATAAATCACCATTGCCCCTACGTTGTCCTGACAGCCATAGCTCTGTGCTAATGTGCACAGCTTCTTAGCAGCTGCTAATGGGTCCTGTACATGACGTACAGCACTGACAGCTTCTGTGTAGGACAAGTGTTCCCACAACGCTTTGTTTCCCAGAATCAGCAACTCATCTTGAATGGTCAGTGGAGTGGAAGATATGTGGGGCCTGGGGAGGATCCAAGGGTAGAGGTATGTACAGCCCAGCATCCGGGTACAGCAGGTTACCCCATTCACTTTGTTGTCCTACAGAAGAGCAGGATACAGATTTGAGAAACAAGCAACAATGACAAGCAACTTTATATCTTTCTAGATCACACTGCTTAGGGATATACAATAAAACAATTTATATATGATTTTTTTCTACAGGTAAGTATAATTTTAAGTGAACACATAAGAATAAATGTAGATAAGTCTTAAAAGACAAAATACTATATGGTTATTATAGAGCCAAGTAAAAATAAGTGACTAAAAGGCAACACCATCCCAAAAGATGTTTGCTTGAACATGAAGAACAGACTTCAGTATGTTTATAAATAGAGAAACACGATAGAAAAACAATTAAGCAGAACTATCATTAATTCTCTATCACTAGTATTCTCAGAGAGGCCAAAACTCAGAAAGGTCACTAAAAGTAATTTCTCACTTAAAGGCGTATCAGCTGGGACTGAAAAGATACCCAATGGCAAAGAGAATATTGGTAGTTAAGGTATCAAATAATCTCTAAGGTTATTCAGCCTAAAAAAGGGGAGTCCTCTCAGCAGTGTAATTCAAAACTTGGAGGAAAAGGAACAATCCTGCTTGCAGGTTGGGAATGCTCACAAGCCACACATTTTGTAGTACTGATTTCAAGAAAAGAAAAAAACAAAACAAAATTCTTAAGTCATCAATAAGTTAATTTCACATTTGCAGTCACCCTCTAGGAGAAGACCTGAGCTTATTTACCAGAATTTGTCATAAATTCTAAACCTCACTTTCTTCATCTGTAAAATGAAAATGGGAGTTTATTTATTTTATTTTATTTTTAATTTTTTTGGAGATGGTTCGCTGTTGGTACCCAGACTGGAGTGCAATGGCACAATCTCAGCTCACCGCAACCTCCGCCTTCTAGGTTCAAGCAATTCTCCTGCCTCAGCCTGCCGAGTAGCTGGGACTACAGGCACGCACCACCATGCCCAGCTAATTTTTGTATTTTTAGTAGAGACAGGGTTTCACCTTGTTGACCAGGATGGTCTCCATCTCTTGACCTCGTGATCCACCCGCCTCAGCCTCCCAAAGTGCTGGGATTATAGGCGTGAGCCACCGTGCCCAGCCAAAAATGGGAGTTTAACAATTATAATTATCCACAGAATCAGAAACTCTGGGGCTAGGGCTCACAAATTCATGGGAGTTATTAAGTTTAGGTAAAATAACAAAGGTATGGTGCTTGGCAAATAATGGACAAACAAATGTCTGTGGTTAAAATTACATTTATAAAAATACTTCCTACTTATCTAGACTCCCCTAAGAAAAATCTGAACATTGGCTGGGCTCACACCTATAATCCCAGCACTTTGGGAGGCCGAGGCAGGCGGATCACCTGAGGTCGGGAGTTTGATACCAGACTGACCAACATGGAGAAACCCTGTACTAAAAATACAAAATTAGCCAGAGGTGGTGATGCATGCCTGTAATCCCAGCTACTCAGGAGGCTGAGGCAAGAGAATCACTTGAAACCACGAGGCTGAGGTTGTGGTGAGCCAAGATCGCTCCATTGCACTCCAGCCTGGGCAACAAGAGTGAAAACTCTGTCTCAAAAAAAAAAAAAAAAAAAATCTAAACAGTATCCAAACTCTATAAAAAGACTAGTCAAACAAAAAGTTATCTGAAGCAAGGTGCAGTGGCATGTGCCTATAGTCCCAGCTACTCAGGAGGCTACAGCAGAAGGATCACTTAATCCAGGAGTTTAAGTCCAGCCTGTATAACACAGCAAGACCTTGTGTCTAAAACAATAAATTTATTAAAAATTTAAAACATCATCAAAATTTTATTTTTCATTTGTTTTGAGTGAAAGAGCTTCCCAAAGCTAATGTCTCATACTTCCACAGTCCTAATAGTATCAATCACATAATATTAATGCTTTTTTATTTTGTTACCTTAGATGAACTCTATAAAGAATTCTGACAAAACAGAGAGCCCAGAAATGGACCCACACAAATACAGTCAACTGATCTCTGAAAAAAGAGCAAAGGCCGTACAAAGGATAGTCTTTTCAACAAATGGTGTTGGAACAAGTGGATACCCACATGCAAAACATGGATACAGACACAGAGCTTACACTTTTCACAAAAATTAATTCAAAATAGACAGTGGACCAAAATGTAAAACACAAAAGTAAACTTCTAGAAAATAACATAGAAGAAAATCTAGGTGACCTTGGGTTTTGCAACCCAAGTCGCAAATAGTTTTAGATACAACACCAAAAGCACGATCCATGAGACAAAAACTGACAAGCAGGCCTTCATTAAAACTAAAACTTCTGCTCTGCAAAAAAAAGCACTGTTAAAAAAAGGAAATGACAAGCCCCAGACTGGGAGAAAATATTTGCAAAACATGTATCTGATAAAGAACTTGTTTCCAGCCAGGCGTGGTGGCTCACGCCTATAATCCCAGCACTTTGGGAGGCCGAGGCGGGTGGATCACCAGGTCAACAGATCGAGACCATCCTGGTCAACAAGGTGAAACCCCATCTCTACTAAAAATACAAAAATTAGCTGGGCATGGTGGCGCATGCCTGTAGTCCCGCCTACTCTGGAGGCTGAGGCAGGAGAATTGCTTGAACCCAGGAGGTGGAGGTTGCGGTGAGCAGAGATCGTGCCATTGAACTCCAGTCTGGGTAACAACAGCGAAACTCCATCTCAAAAAAAAGAAGAAAAAGAACTTGTTTTCAAAATATACCAGACTCTTAAAAGTCAACAATACAGAAACAATCCAATTTAAACTGTTCAAAAGATCTCAGAGGAATTCTGTTTTGTGATAAACAATGTTCACAAGTAATTGCTCAAGTTTTTCTGAAAGCAAAAACGTTAATTCTTAAAAAAAAAAAAGGAGAAAAGGTATAAAACAGTAGAAATACTGATGCTTTATTATCAAAACAGAACACTAGAGCATACTACACCACATACAGTATAAACACAAAACATTTTGAAACTCTGCATTTCAGAACAGGGATGTCAAACTCGAGAACTCTTTCTACTATTTGGAGTAACAAACCAGATGAGCTGGAAATTAGCTAAGGGGGCATTTAACATACATTTTACACGCTAGCTATCAATGTAGAGGATCACAAATTAGGATTATTAGGATTTTGTATTTCTAATGCATTTTGCTTTTTTCTTTGCGCTAGTCATTAACTGATCAGATTTTCTTCTATTTCTGTTGCTGAAACCATCTGAATTGAATTTTTATCTGAACAATTTACAGGGCATGAGAGGAAGAAAATGGACCTTCATCACCTCTACACAAAGCCTCTACTGGATTTGGGGAGTATAAGTGACTGGCAGGGAGCGAGACACACCTCTGTGATGATGGCTTTTTGGTCCTTCACCCTCTGCGCCTCCTCTGCGTCCTGCTCCAGGCTGAATACTTTAGAGAGGGGTACTGGCTTCCCACCTCGGCACAAGACTGCTTGGCACGTGCCAACATTGGCCACAGTCAAGCTAAAGCTATTTGCTGGATCGGCAGTGTCAGGGCGGATGTAGCAAAGGAGAGCGGAGGAGCCCAACTTCTGGCCAGCCATTCCTAATTTCCTATTCAGAAAGAAAAGAAAATGAAGATGTGGTGTCTAGTTTTAGAAGTGGTGGTCCTGCACATATAGCCCTTCTAAAATCAGACTTGCTGTGGCTGATGGTGGTGGAGAGAGTTCTGCCTTCCACTCTCAGCTGAGGAAAAGATTTTACAAAAGGGAGACATGGGAGTAGAGAGTCAAGGTGCATCTTTCTCCACTGCTTTTTTTGTGTCTGATCAAAGACTTCCTAATTCAGGGGCTGTGAAACTTTAGCACATCAGAATCACCTGAGGGCTTGTCCAAACAGAGATTGCTGGGCCCTAGCCCCAGAGTTTCTGATTCAGTGGGTAAGAGGCTGGTTCAATAAACTGCATTCCAAGAAATTTCTGGTGATGCTGAGGCTGCTGGTCCTACAACAACACTTTGAGAACCATTCACTTAGGCTATAAGTTCCTTGAGGGAAGGCCCACGAGTCTTAAATTTTCCCCTGCATGCAGGGCATCCATGTGCCTGTACTTGGAAACAATCCTAAGAAACTGGCAGAAAGACCTAGTTTCAATCCCAGCTCTGCCACTTCCTGGCTACAGACCCTCAGCAAGTGATTTCTCCTAGAAATTTCTCTGATAAAACATATAGTATGAAAAATACTTACTACAGCTCCTGGCTCAAGAGTTGTTTCATAAATTGAGTTCCCTTCCCTAAACCCTTTATTTTATGAAGTCTCTAGCTCAATTCTACTACTGAAAAAAACTCCTTCCTAACGCTTTGCTTTGTGTTATGACAGATAAAACTAGTTCAAGATCCAGGCTGTTCCATTTCAACCTGAACTATACAACTTAACAACCTCTCAGTTATTCATACCCTTTATCAGTCCACCTGATATGCAAATGCTCCATTACAGTTAGGTTATACAGATATCCTCAACTTACAATGGTTCAACTTAAGGTTTTTTGACTTCACAATGATGAAAAGCAATACTGCAGGCATTTAGTAGAAACTGTACTTTGAATTTTGATCTTTTCCTGGGCTAGTGACATGTGGTATGATCTTCTCTCATGATGCTGGGCAGAGGTAGCGAGCCACAGCTACCAGCCAGCCACTTGATCACAAGGCTAAACAATTAATACAGTGCCCTGTGCACCAGATGATTTTGCCAAACTATAAGCTAATGGGGTAAGTGTTCTGAGAACATTTAATGTAGGCTAGGTGAAGCCATGATGTTTGGTTGGGTAGGTATATTAAATGAAGTTTCCACTTACCGTATTTTCAACTTACGATGGGTTTATCAAGATGTAACCCTATTGTAAGTTGAGGAGCATCTGCATAGAGTTTTTGCCCTTAAGTGGTTTAGACTTTACTTAGACTAGTTGGGTAAAACCCCAGAAACAGGGATTCTAAGCATATGAATCTGAGGAGTTTTTGGCTAACCTTTTGTAGGTCACTGACTCCTTGGACAATCTTATGAAAGCTGAGCACCTTCCTCCTCAAAATGTACAGCCACATATATATATACACACACAACCTTTTGCATATAAATTCTGGGCTCCCAGATCCTCAGCAGCCTTTGGATTCAACAGAAAAAAACAGATGAAGTCACAGGCTTTTTAAAGAGCCAAAGCCCCACACTCCATTCTGATATAGAGAATGATAATAGAAGACAACAATGTTGAGTTCTCTCCTTGATCCTGTAACCGTAATTTAGACCCTGACCTTCTGGTTTAGAAAGATACATTTTCTTGGAAATGTCTGCTAACCAACATCTGGTAAATAAAAATAAATAAATAAGATATATTTTCTAAAAGTAGAACTGAGTTAGGGATTATTCAACCCACCTGCTTACCTGTGAGATACCAAGAAGGTGTTAGCCATGAAAACTGTGTCATTAGTTGACTGCTGCACCTCTTCTAAAAGCACATCTGCCATTGTACACTGGAGCAGGCGTGGGAGCTCCTCATTTCGATCCCCATCAAACATGCCATACACAGCTCCCACCCCTTCTGCAAAGTTATCCATTGCAAGCGCTGAGACACACAGCCTATAACAGAAATATGAGAAACACAATCATCAAAAAAAGTTACTGGTAAAGTATTATTCTTTAGGGACCATTCTTTTAAAAAGTAAGTATTAATTAAAGGTGGAGAGGACCAGTAGCAAATTGTAATCTACACATAAAAAGTCCTTAGACATGATAATTAAGCAACATCTGAAAGAGCTAATGTCCCAAGGAAAGGGGAAACAGCCACATTCACCGGCAGTACATATCAGCTTTGCAATGCTGCGGAAGGCTGGTAAGATAAAACACTTTCTCTTAGTGGCAACTAAGGATTAGTTTTGTCAAGGCTCATCAGCCAAAGATCACCAGAGCACACCTATGGTTGAAAAAGCTGCGTTTATTACTCGTTATAGCAAATGAATATGCACCCCATGGACCCTGGGGTATACAGATAAGGAGTGCTGAAAAGAACCAACTAGAGGGTTTGAACTTTGGCTGGGAAGGGTATAAGGAAGAGGATCACACTAGACTAGGTGTCATCAGAAAGTGGGGCCATTCTATGGCTGGGTATAAATCTTATCTATAGGGAAAGAAAATTAGCAGAAGGATAAAGCTGTAACCAGTAAAGAAAGTAGCATCTACCCATCTTAGCCATGAAAGGGGGTTTTTGGTATTTTGTTGACTATATATTTGTGTTGTTTTTGTCTTAAAACTTTATCATGGTCTCAAAAGGATCTTATCTGACACTGATGTTCTATGACTTTTGTACAACAGAATAACATGGCCTAGCTATTATGAGCATCAGACCAGTTCTCAGATGCCAGGGGCTGCCATTTTTTCTTTCTCAGTCTCCATGGCTAATATACTCACTTATTTCTCTGCCCTGTCATCTCAGCCAGTCCGTGGCTCCAGAAGGTTGATGTAACTGTAGAATCTGTGGTTGGCAAAGGTTTCTGATCAATTTTCAGGGTTGTGATATGGCTGTGGGAGGTGAGGGAAGATTAAACAATATGCTCAACTGTTTTTTACAAAAACTATCCCAACAATTTTTTTTTTTTTTTTTTTTGAGACCAAGTCTCCCTCTTGTCACCCAGGCTGGAGTGCAGTTGTATGATCTCTGCTCACTGCAACTTCCACCTCTCAGGTTCAAGCAATTCTCCTGCCTCAGCCTCCCGAGCAGCTGACATTACAGGCATGCGCTACCACACCCAGCTAATTTTTGTATTTCTTTCTTTCTTTTTTTGAGACAAAGTCTCCCTCTGTCGCCTAGGCTAGAATGCAGTAGTGCGATCTCGGCTTACTACAACCTTCACATCCTAGGTTCAAGCGACACACCTGCCTCAGCCTCCTGAGTAGCTGGGATTACAGGTGCCTGCCGCCATGCCCAGCTAACTTTTATATTTTTAGTAGAGGCAGGGTTTCACCATGATGACGAGGCTGGTCTCAAACTCCTGACCTCAAATGATCCACCTGCCTGGGCCTCCCAAAGTGCTGGGATTACAGGGGTGAGCCACCACGCCTGGCTTATTTTGTATTTTTAATAGAGATGGGAGTTGCGCCATGTTGACCAGGCTGGTCTTGAACTCTTAACCGCAAGTGATCACCCACCTTAGCCACCCAAAGTGCTGGGATTACAGGCGTGAGCCACTGCACCTGGCCAACAATAACGTATCTTTTAATAAAATAATCTATGGACAGACTAAAATGCATTTCTAGAGAGATGGATGAAAGTAGTATGCTGAACTACTGGCAAAGGAGGAGGGGAGAGAAAGGAAATGGGTAGAAGGAACAAAGGAGTAGGAGTTTCAATCAAAAACTAAGCACGGCAAAGATTTCTAAGTTTTAGTCAACCATCTATTTCTTTTAAGTACTTTGATACAATGAAGTCTTGGTACAATGGATGATCTTGTATTGTCTCTTAGATATTATATAATCTGTCCCACCTAAAACATCTATGCTTGTCATGAAAATATTCAGTGTGTGAGTGGGAAGTAGACATGGAGTAGTCCTAATATAAACAGATTGACTACTGGATAGGACATCTATTCATAACTTAAAAAGAGAACTTAGGGGCTTTATGGCCTAAATTCATTTTATTCCTTTAATTACTCGAGATCTCCACAGTACTAACTGTGCTAGATTCTGAAAATAGTTCAAAAGAAACAAGAAGACCTACACACGGCTGGTGGGCCTAAGAGCACAAGCAGATTCCATTTCAAATTTTTTCCTACCTAAATATGTCCAATGTCTTATGTTCCAGAACCAGATTTGTATTTCCAGTCAGGTCAAGGTCTTGTAATGTAGCAGGCAAAGCCTCTGGAATCAGGATTTCTGTCAAGTCATTGCAACTTAGGTCTACAAACTAAGAAGGAATGGAGAAATCAAAAGAAAACACATCATAGAGACTTAGTTGTTTACTCCCAAGAGTCCAATCTCTTACTATATCCCAAAGAGAAACTTAACTTTTTCCCAGGAATCTATTACATACATTCTGGTCCCAAATTGAGTACATAAGAAGACAATACTATTTTTCCTTATGAGAATAATCTCATTTACACTCCTTTCTTCTTCTTTATAAGAGAATAATCTCATTCACTCTCCTACCATTTCTTCCAATAAGGACATCATTCCAGCACACAGTAGTACCTGGATCTGAGGCAATTGCAGTATTTCTGGGAAAATACTGATGTTATTGGAGTGTGCCACAAGGGTGTGCAGCCTTTTGCAGTTTGCTATGGTTGTGGGAATGGTTTTAAGCTTGTTGCCACTTAGGTTCAGTTCCTCCAATTGCTCCAATTTATTTAGTTTGCTGAAAAAGAAACACCAGAACACTATAATGCACCAAGACTGAGGAGCTGCCAAGGAAGTGCTATTCTACAGCAGCCACATAGTAAAGGCGGCCAGTATGGTCTACTGCCAGATGACTGGTAAGAAATGAAACTGATATCAGGAAAGGCAATGGCTCAACAAGTTACAACTTCTGCTGTCACTAAGCCTGATCTGCCTTGGTTTGTTTCAAGGGCCATTAGATCTTGCGGGCAGGAACATCTTCCTGTTACCTAATGTACAGAAAGTGGCTAGAAAAGGAGTGGCTGCCAAGTTAGGGGATTAGTCCTGATGCTTGCTTTACCACTAACTAGCTAAGAAATACTAGGTAAATCAGTGTCAGCATCTTCAATCTCCTCAGCTGTAAAAAATTAAGTTTTACTACATCATCACTAAGATTCTTTTCAATTTTAAAATTCTACAGTTACCTATTCATGACATTAACTCATCTCCACTAAGCATTTATCAAATTCTTATCATACACACAGCACTGTGCTGTGAGGCAAATGATTCACACTGTTCCATGACTGAGCAAAGCTTTCTACAGCATATACAAAATACCTTAAGGAAGAGTAACACCTTTATGGAGGTTATTACAAATTGTTCTAATTTATTTTGATTTATTGGTTTAAAAATTATAAAAATAATCAACTGCTGTTAACATGGAGAGAAAGCGTGAAAAATAAAGAAAATAAATCACCAATACCAACAATCTGAATTACTTTTATCATTTTGCTGAATTTCCTACCAAATTTATGTATTTGTTTTATATAAATTTTATATCTTGCCTTTTTCATATAACATATCATAATTTCTACTAGAAATTTTATAAATACTTTTTAATAACTAAGTTCAATAAATAACAATTTTTTTCTGATAATAATATATGCTCACTGAAAAAAACTGAAAAATAGAGACAAACAGGAAAAAAAAAACCTTTTAATGCTACTGCCAAAGATAATCTCTGATGACACTTTGGTAAACAGTACTCTTGTCTTTCCTTAGGCATGAAACTATACTTTTCAAATTAAAAACTGGTATTATAGGCCAGGTAGGTATGATGGCTCACACCTATAATCCCAGTACTTTCAGAAGCTAGGGCAGGTAAATCTCTTGAGCCCAGGAATTTGAGGCTGCAGTGAGTTATTACTGCACCACTGCACACCAGCTTTGGCAACAAAAGACCCCACCTCAAAAAAAACAGAAAAAGGTGCTATATTATATACATTGTATTTATCACTTTCTTTTATTGAACAACATATTTTAAAAGTATTCCCATGTCCAAATCTCATGCTTTTCCCTTATCCTGCCTGGATTTTTCTGACTTGTAAATAGAAATGCAGCCTCCTCAATCAGTTTCTTACTGAGTACCCAGAACTGTGCCAGATTCTGAAAATAGTTCAAAACAAACAAGATCTGTATTGTGACTATACAATTATAACACTGCGCAGGAAATGACCCGATAGTGGATTATTCAGTTAAGAACACACATTTTTAAAAAATATGTTGTTCCTAAATTTCACTGTTTTATTATATATATCCAGATTACTCTATTCTTTGTGATCTGTTAAGTCTTACCTCTTTTTTTTTTTTGAGACGGAGTCTCTGTTGCCCAGGCTAAAGTACAATGGCGCAATCTCAGCTCACTAAAATCTCTACTCCCAAATTCAAGCGATTCTCATGCCTTGGCCTCCTGAGTAGCTGGGATTACAGGCACATACCACCACACTCAGCTAATTTTTGTATTTTTAGTAGAGATGGGGTTTCACCATGTTGCCCAGTCTAGTATTAAACTCCTTACTTCAGGTGATCCACCCACCTCAGCCTCCCAAAGTGCTGGGATTACAGATGTAAACCACCTCACCTGGCACAAGTATTTTTTTTTTTTTTTTTAATCACTCAGGTGTGGTTGGTGGTACATGCCTGTAGTCCCATCTCCTTGGGGGCTGAGGCAGAATTACCTGAACTCAGGAGTTCGAGGCTGCAGTGAGCTGTGATTGTCCACTGAACTCTAGCCTGGATGACAGAGCAAGACCCTATTTGCTTTAAAGAAAAAAAAAAAAAAAAAAAAGCAATCAAGTTTCTCCTGTATATCTTCTGAAGCTCTACCTCATTTTGTAAATGTTCGTAAAAATTATAATTTTATAATATACATGTATATAATTTCATCCAAGATTATTTATATAAAATGCTACTGCCCCATGTTCTTAATTTTTGAAAATACTATTTTTAATGAGTACTTTCATGGCATAGATTTTTCTGGTGTTAAATTTTCCAAATTTTAGTTGGTTATGGTGGCATGCATCTGCAGTCCCAGCTACTTTAGAGGCTGAGGCGGGAGAATCACTTCAGACAACAGTTCGAGATCAGCCTGGACAAGGTAATGAGACCTAATCTCTTTAAAAAAAAAATCCAAAGTTTTTTTTTAAATCAAATGTATTTTGAAAGGGTTTACTTATCCACGGACACTGTCCACAACTTTGACAGCATTAAACATCTTTCTTATGTGTTTAAATAGGGGTAGCCTGGCTAACTACTGTTCATCTTCCTCCAGGGAGCCTAACCCCATCCCCAGGCTCTGTGCAGTGTGACTGGCAACGTGTGTGTATCTTCTTTAACACCCTGCCTTTCTTAGACTGCACTGCAACTGCCTATCCACTTGTCTATTTACCCAATTTGACTGTTACACAATACTTGACATAAAGTAGACATTCCATTTTTGTATCACGAATAAATTAAAAGATAACAGTATTTTATAAAACAGTGCTGACAAAAGAAAAAATTATCTTCAGAATTTGTTTCCTAAGCCTGTACTTTTCTAGGTTGAGTATTAGACCATTATTAAGGAGTCACAATTAAAAATTAAACATATTTTAACCAATTTTCCTGGTTACTTAAAAGGGTACTAACTATTATGATGAGATTTTGCCACTCAACTAGTGAAACCATAGCATCTGTAAGTCAGTCAACATAAACAAAGAGTCACACTCAGATAGCTGTATTTTTTTTGACAAATGGATAATTAACATTGTATATTTGAAATGATCAAAGTTTGCATTCATTTTACCTTGCAGGAAAGCTCTGTAGCTGATTGTTTGCAAGGTGCAAGATTCGCAGGTGCGGGTGCCCCACCAGGACAGGTATGCACTGATCTGTCAGGAGATTGCTGGTCAGATAAAGCAGCTGCAGCATACTCAAACTCTCCTCCCCAGTGCAGGTGGCTGGTAAAGACTCCAGACTATTTGCAGATGCATTCAAGTATCTGAGACTGACAGAACACACACAGATTATCACTTCCTTTATTTGCTGCCTTGCTGTATAGAAACCATCATGTGACCTCAGTATGGGATGCTGCCATTCCAAGCTCCCAAATGAAAAAAACAAAAAAAATTCTCCAGGAAGTTTTTCCATAATTGATCCTATCCAACCAACTCAACGTTCCTTTTACTCAACTCATGCAAACCAAATAGAGAGGAAAAAGTACAAGCCTGATTGTTTTCCCAGGCTTCTGGAGTGCCTGACTCTAACCTAACTTCATCTTTTACTATCAAACTGCCTACTGAAAGGATATTGCTGAATATCGTGTTCAAATATATCTGAACTATGAAGACAACATTTAGAAAAACTTTTGTCTGGTTTCAACAGCATCATTATGTATTTAGCCAACCCCATAATCCACTAACAAAAAACACATAGGCTGTTTCCATTTCTATACAAATGCTATCATAGATACTGTAATGAACATCTTTGTAACCTTAACCAATTATTTCCTTAGAGTATACTCCTAAAAACAGATTTTGTGGGATCAAAGGATTATATATTTTTTAGAGATTTAATATATTGCCAAACTGACCTCCTGAAAGACTATACGAAATTATACTTCCAGCCAGGGGTGGTGGCTCACGCCTGTAATCTCAGCACTTTGGGAGGCCTAGGTGGGTACATCATGAGGTCAGGAGATGGAGGCCATCCTGGCTAACACAGTGAAATCCTGTCTCTACTAAAACTATAAAAATTAGTTGGGCATGCAGCATGTGCCTGTAATCCCAGCTACTTGGGAGACTGAGGCAGGAGAATTGCTTGAACCTGGGAGGCAGAGGTTGCAGTGAGCTGAGATCATGCCACTGTACTATAGCTTGGCGACAGAGCTAGACTCCATCTCAAAAAAAAAAACAAAAACAAATTATACAGAAGACTAAGAATGCCAGTTCGTCACACCTTTGTCAACACTGAGTATACAAATCCATTCCAATCTTTGCCGAGCTAATAGATAAAACATGGTATAATTTAAAATTTTGCCTTAGTGTTTGGTATATACAGAACATGCTCAATAAAAGGCAGCTATTATTAAACTTGTGTGTTCTCAGGTCTTCCTCATGTTGTATGATCCATAATCCCTAATTCATTTTTAAATTGATATGTAAGTTTTACATAACTAGCTTTTAAGCTAATGGTGGGTACTGTGTGTCTGCTTGTGCTATTGTCTCAACAAAGCTCTGTCCAGAGTTAATATTAAATAAATACCACTGACAGTTTGCTACAATTAAGTTACTCACTACAGATTCTAAGGTTGTAAACTAATTTTATTCAGACTATCATGAGGACCAAATGCAGTGCTATGCATTGCTAACAAATACTTGTAAACTAACAACTGCATCAAGACTCCATATAAATATTACATAAAGAAAATTTCCTTTAAATGCTTTTTAGAATTTCCAAAGACTTTATTTTGAGGAATATCCAACCAAGTGTATTATACATTAAGAAATGTATAAGCTGCTAAAGAAAGAACAAGCCAGACAACTGTGGGCTAAGTGGTTTTTTTATGTCTCCTCCTAATTTACTACTGCTCATACTACTACCCATCTCTGTTTCCTCCATTTCTAAAGTGAAGACAATATTGCCTTCTCCATGTTGTAGAAAAATATAATTAAAAACTAGTTTTCAATGCTCGCTTTGGCAACACATATACTAAAATTGGAATGATACAGAGAAAATTAGCATGGACACTGAGTAAGGATGACAGGCAAACGTGTGAAGCATTCCATATTTAAAAAAAAAAACAATACTAGTTTTCAGGCTGGGTGCAGTGGCTCATGCCTGTTAATCCCAACACTGAGACCAGCCTAGGCAAAATGGTGAAATGCTGTCTCTACAAAAAATAAAATTAGCCAGGCGTGGTGGTGCACACTTGTGGTCGCAACTACTTAGGAGGCTGAGGAGGAAGGATCACTTGGATCCAGGAGGTCAAGGCTGCAGTGAGCTATGATTGCACCACTGCATTCCAGCCTGCATGACAGAGTAAAACCATGTCTCTAAAAAAAAAAAAAAATCCATACGAACAAACCCCACAAACGAGTTTTCATTTAAAGGTGATATACACATTAGGTAAACCTGATTACAGGTCTAAAACAGGAAGGTGATGTCATCTACCTGTTAATTTATAGTTAGAAGGCAAATGACACATTTTGGAAGGATATTACCTATAAATACAGTTTTCAAAGTACACAAAACGCTTTGTACATGAAGACTGTAATTCAGAGGCAGTTTGGTAAAGCTAGGAGCAAAAACCAAATTAACTTTAGTGGTATGTCCTTTTGTCTCCAATGCAAAAGCTCAAAATTGTGCAAAGAAGCTACAGCAGAATGTGATAATTTCTCTTTAAATGTCATAACAATATTCATTTTCAGAGATGAAAGCCTGAATCTTCTCGACCTGTCTGAAATTGTTTACAATACAGAAACCTCTTTAAGTATTTGACAGCTATTTCAACTTTGACGTACTGTTTCATAAAACAGTGTCATATATTCTTTCATAAAAATTGCATATAAGTCTCCACCCATAGTTGGACTATCAGGTAAACTCTCTAAAAATATAGTTCCAAAGGTCACTCCAATGATAAGTCACTGCAGTCTGTTTAGCCAATGATTCGGCTCTTTCGAAAAATATCCTATGGTACTCACTTTAAGGCCTTGGAGAAGAGAGTGTCTGGCAGCCTGCTGAGTGCATTATGCTGAAGATCCAACACCTCAAGGGGGATATGCTCCACCAGTGTTGGGAGGTTTTCTAAGTGATTGTGTCCCACCATCAGTTTTCTAAGACTCAAGCTACTCAGAATCCTAAGGGGAAAACATAGGAACAAACAAATTAAAAATTTAGTGAAATCATTCTTTCTGAGGCTGTCCTAGCCTATTTAACTAAGTTATATATTCTTCTAGATTGTATACTCACCAACAAGTGCCTCAGCCAAGAAAGCAGCTATGACTGTATGTTTACCCACCACCCACCAGGAAGTCATTAAGGTCAGTCTGAGAAAAGGTGAATTAATGAAGGCAAACAGCACAGAGTAGATCTAAACTAAAAAGGCAATTTCTAGAATAAATCAATTTAAGTTTAAGTCTAATAACAGCACCAAAAATTCAGCATATTAACACATCTTGTAAATAAATTCATAACATTTCATTACAATAAAAACTATTTTAGTGCTCAAAATGTGCTAAGCCACTTAACAATGAAGTTCAGAAAGGTTCAATAACTTTGATTTGCCTAAGATTTCACACTGAATAGTAAATGGTAAAGTCTAGACTTGACTCCAAAGACTGTGTTCATATTTACTATGTTAAATGCCTCTCGTTTAATTTTAAAGACTCTATTAGGTAATAACCATACATTCTACACCTCAGTGCTTTTGAATATATCATTCTCTGCCCCACTTTCTTTCTCCCTCCACTTAGAAAACTTTCATCATCTGGTAAAGGTCAATTCAAACATCATCTTCTCCATGAAACATTCCCTAATTATTCAAATTTCTTCTGACTTTCTCCATTCAATTTACACAGTGTAGTGATTAAGAGTGAAGGCTCTGGAGTAAAAATGACTACATCCAAGGCCAGGTGTGGTGGCTCATGCCTGTAATCCCAGCACTTTGGGAGGCTGAGACGGGCCCATCACTTGAGCCCAGGAGTTTGAGACCAGCGTGGCCAAAATCGCAAAGCCCTGTCTCCACTACAAATACAAAAATTAGCTGGGCGTGGCAGTGTGTGCTCCTAGTCCCAGCTACTGAGGGGGCTAAGGCCAGAGGATCACCTGAGCCCAGCAGGTTGATGCTGCAGTGAGCAGTGATTGTGCCACTGCACTCCAGCCTTGGTGACAGAATGAGACCCTGTCTCCAAAAAAAAAAAAACCACTACATTCAAATGTCAGCTCCCATCACTTCTGGGTTAAGTGTAACCTTCATCAAGTTACCTAACCGCTCTTAGATAAGCCTTACCTTCCTCATTTTTACAATAAAGATAACAGCACCTATTAAATATATAAGCTTTTTAAAGGATTAGGTAAGATCATAAAAATGAAGTTCTTAGAATATTGCTCAGCTCATAATAGCTCATACTATAAAAATTAACTATTGTTACTATCATATCACCAACCTACAGAGGCAACCCTTGGTATATTTCTTTCATCACAGTTATCCACATATACACTATCTCTCCTTAAGTTCCTTGCAAGCTAAGACCATGCTTTAGCCTTTATTATGTTCCTTACAGCACATCACACTGTCTCATGCTCAGCGGGTACTCAGTACTCACTGAACAAATAAAAGGCAACCCAAATCTAGAAAAAAAATTAAATACACGCACACATAAATGTTAGTACATACATACATACATAATATATGCATCCATGCACACATACCTCATGGGAACCTCTGTGATAAGATTATAGCTCACATCTAATACTTCTATCTTCTTTGCTTCACAGGCCCAGTCAGGGACACACTCTAGAAGGTTTCTGCAGAAAATAAATAATTAAATGGCACCATTTAAGATGACAAATTAACTCACTTCACTAGACTGTAATGTATCTGTTAAGCAGCCTCTGAGCCCTTGAGGACAGGGACACTATCTCCAAGGCATTCCTTGGTACATTACCTGGAATATAGCAGGTGCTCAGTGAATGCTGTTGAATTAGAAGGGAGAGGACAGACAAGCACTTGAAAATATGTAATATTGGAGCAGTTATGCTACATGCTTGAAGAAGGTAAAAAAAGTTTTCTGTATTAGAAAAGAACACTTATGGTAGGATGGAATGAGGGAAAGATAAGGAATTATAATAACAAAACTTCAAAGATGAGTTAAGACTTCTTCCACAGGTACTGACTGGGTGAGAAGAGAAGTGAATTCCAGAAAAAATGAACAGAATGAATAAAACTGAGACAGCAGAGGCAAAAGATAACTAGTGGGGAAGAAGTTTCAAACCATTAAGAATGTGAGCTCAAATAATTTGTAAAGCACTAGGCAGATATTTAGTGAAGAGAACTTTTTTTTCAGATGGGACACCTTCTCTAGGCATCAAGGTATCTACGGATTTACTGAGTGATATAATGAGGCAGAATGAAGCAGCACTATATAAGAGAAACACACATATCGCTATACCTTAGTGAAGGAAACCCTTTACCTAAGATGAATCAAAACAAGCTCTCTAAAAAATATGACATGTGGGTTAGAATGTGAAGGTGTTGTATAATGACCTGAGGTGAGGAGCACATTCCAAGCACAGAGTGGCAACATGAGCTAGAGCACAGAGGCAAGAAAAGAAATACATGGTGTGTGGGGGAGAATAACAAGCAGTTTGGTGATGCTAGAGTGCCCGGGAGGAGAGAGTGTGGGCTGGAGATAATAAAGAACAATAAAGTCACGTCCAATAAAGTATAGCAGACCAAGGACAGAACCCGGGGGATAATCGACCTTTAAAGGGCTAGCTGAGGAAGAGGAGTACACGAAAAAGAAATGGCCAAAGTGGCATGACAAAAATCAGACTGTATTAACTAGTCAAGGAAAAAGCATGCTTAGAGACAAGAGAGCAAGATTAACTGTGTCAACATAGAAAACTTCCACTAAGAGAAGCACTAAACTGAGCTGTTAGAGGGATAAGCAGATGAGGACTGAAGACACTAAGACAAAAAACGCACATAATTCTTGAGAAATTTGGACAAAATGGGGAAGAGAGTAATTAAGACAATAGCCAGCAGGGTTGTAAGGTGAAGGGAATTTTCTCTGTCACGACAGAAGAGATTTAAGTGTGTGTACAGACTAAAAAAAGAGGCTGAATGAACACACACAGACACAAAAACACATACACACGAGCGGGAGGGAGAAAAAAAGGAGAGGGGAGGGAGTAGGACAATAATAATGATGAACAGAGCAAGGTCCAGGGCAGTGGGAGGGGACGGGTCACAGGCACAAACAGCTGGAATGGCTGTAACAGAGGAGATAAGCTGAGAATGAATATGCACCTATATAAATTCAAGCAAGGTGGGTGTTAGGAAGCTAAGTTCCAGCATGGAGGAGACTGAGAAGGGGGACACTGAGGAAGGTAGAGCAATCCTGAACAGATGCTGAGGACACTGGAAGGAGCTGGCAAGAGGAAGAACCGATAAGCTCCAGATAAGGTTGGAAATTGTGAGTTTGTTGTAGTGTCCACTTGGATGTGATTTTCTTCGGCAATGACCAAGCTCAACGGAAAAGGTAAAATTTTAGTACTGACCCATGTTGGGATTTTGCTGGGAAGACAAGCAGAAAGAAATGGAAGGGAATCTAAAACATTAGCTTTTAAAATGATGATAAAGTAACAAAATCAACAAAAGAGAAACTTAGCTATAATAGCTAGTATATCTTGAGACAACTGCATGTCAGGTACTCTCCTGCATATTTTGCATTTATCATCTCACTCAGTCTTTACAACCCTGACCATATAGGACCATGCCCACTGCCCCTTTGATCTGCTTTGGGCACCCTATACTTGCAGCACTTAGGATGCTGCCCTGTCACTACCTGTCTGATTGTTCATCTTGCCACTAGATCGCAAAACTCAACCAGTGAACCCAGAATGCCCAACAGTGGTTAAAAAGGAATGAATAAAAGAAAAACAAACTTCATTTATGTTTGTTTCTGGCCACCGAGAGAAGTAATAAAATCCTGAATATAATTAATGTCCCTTCAAAAATAAGACCAACATGAGATATGGGAGTATAAAAAAATTAAAATTTTTAAAAACTCACCATCTAAAAATTAATGATCTGATTCCAACCAACAAAATGGGAATCAGTGCCATGAAGATAAGAGGTCTTTGCTTGTACCTCCTCCTTTAAGAAGGAATAATTCATAGGCACCTTACTATTTCAACAGAATCCTTCCTTTATACAATAAGGCTATTAAACTTAATTGTCCACTCATCCTTTCTCCTTTTTCCAGGTTATCCAAATACTGCAAAATATTTAGATTTCTCGTGCATCAAAACTGCCAAGAATCCACATGTATCTCTTAAATAGAAAGAAACAAGCATCACCCTCATGAGAGATACTCACCGGCAAAGATCCAAGGAAGTGAGTAGGCTAGGTACTGGATATATGTTCACTGCTGTCAGCCCTAATCCAAAAACAACAGGTGTTAATGACATCCTCTAAAAAAGAAAGTAACTGAGATCTGACAAGGGAACAGTAGCTTAGTGAAATCACAAGAGAGAAAATTGATGTCCTCTACCAAGATGAACTAAAGACAGAAATTACTGAATAACTCATTTTGACTAACCACTTGATCCCAATGTGTCTTGAAAAACAAATGTAACAACTAATTGAAGGATCCTGTGTACCACACTACCTTTATACAAGGTTAAACAGTTGTTAAATGTTAACAGTAACTACTTAGCCTTTTAACTTGATAAAAATTAATAATTAGACTTTTACTGGCAATATTTTAACTTTTAAATAAAATACAACAAATACAGAAAACTGCAAAAATCAGTAAATTTTCACAAACTGAACACACTAGCAACACCCAGATGAAGAAACAGAACATTACCAGCTCCAGGGTAACATTATCCTGACTCCAAGTACCAAATTACTTTTGACAGTCTACATAAATAAATGCATGTGTATAATTACTTTTGCCTATCTATATAAATATATGCATGCAGTGTGTATACTTTTGCCTATTTATATAAATACGTACATGCAGTATATATAATTACTTTTGCCTATCTACATACATACATACACACAATATGTATAATTTTATTTGTCTACCTTCATTCACTCTACAATATGTTTACAGGATTTGTTTATATAGTTGCATACGGTTATAGTTCATTCATTCTGATGCCTGTATAAAATTACTTTATGTGAATATATCAAAATTTATTTGCCCATTTTAGAGTTGATGGACATGTAAGTCTTCCAGTTTGCAGTTACTATGAATAGTACTTCTATCAACATATTTGTCCATGTTTTTTGTGGACTAATATAAGCCCTTATATAGAGCATAAGCCTAGGAGAGGCACTGCTGGGTATAGGGTTATGTTCGTGTTCACCTTAGTAGACACTACTGAACAGTTTTTCAAAGTGACTGTACCAATTTATACTCCCAACAGCTAACCTGGGATTTTTAGGCCTTTCCATTCTAGTCATTCTGGAAGGTGTGTAGTGGTGCCACATATGGGTTTCAATATGCATATCCCTGATGACTAGTCAAGTTCAGTGCTTTCTCTATCTTAACTGATCACATGTAGATAACTTTTTTGTAAAATGGAGTTCTTGACTTTGAAGCATCAAAACTGCAAGTGTTTATATGAATTCTTCCAGGCTGTAGAATTTAAGGACTTTGTAAACAGAACAGCAGACCTCAAACAAGCCCAATTCAGTTAACCACTGTGATGGAATCTTGGTGACTAATAGTATTTAAGCATTTACGTACTATTAAAATATTTAATTTATTTGTAAATACTTAAATATTTACACAGAGTAAATATTTATGACTGCGTGCCTGTTGATGAGGTCTTTTCCACTAGGGCCAGGAATTCAGAATCTTTAGACACATTAAGGATAGAGATGAGCCTGATAACAAAAATCTCCACGGCCAGGACTTACTACCATGTCAGGCATCTATAAACAGCATCAGTTTTAACACTCTTCTGACCAAGCAATTAATCTAAGCTACAATTTGAAGCTTCTGTAAGTAACTTAATAAAAGGCAATGCAAACAGAAGTCCTCAAATTTCATTTATCTGTATAATCAAAACTAGATTTATCTGCATCTAGTTTATACATGCAGAAAAATAAAGAGAATAAAATAATAAACCCTCTTTCACCTATTATAGAGCTTTTAACAAATCTACTTTCTGCTTTATACGCTCCAACTTTTTGCTTTTTGAAGAGTTTCGCTCTTGTTGCCCAAGCTGGAGTGCAATGGCACAATCTTGGCTCACTGTACCTCTGCCTTCTGGTTTCAAGTGATTCTCCTGCCTCAGGAGAATCCCTCCTGAGTAGCTGGGATTACAGGTGCGCGCCATCACGCCTGGCTAATTTTTTGTAATTTTAGTAGAAACGGGGTTTCACCATGCTAGCCAGGCTGGTTTCGAACTGCTGACACCTCAGGTGATCCATCTGCTTTGGCCTCCCATAGTGCTGGGATTACAGGCATGAGCCACAGTGCCCAACCCAGACTATTTTTTTTAAGAATTAAAATACCACAAATACCAAGAGGTAAACATCATCCTGAATATGGTTTTCATCACTCTCATGTATTCTTTCATACTGTTATGGCATACTTATAGCTAAGAAAATAATACTTGTGAGTGTTTTAAATTTTGATATAACTATCACAATGACATTTAATTATGTACTTTTCCTTGCTCAAAAAATGTTTGCAATTTATCTATATTAACAATACAAAGCTTTACTACATTCATTTTCATTGCTGTGCAGTATTCTATTGCATAAATATATAATTACTGATTTACCCATTTTCCTATTAATAATCCTACTTTTAGGCCAGGCGCAATGGCTCAAGCCTGTAATCCCAACATTTCGGGAGGCTCAGATAGGCAGATCACTGGAGGTTAGGAGATGAAGAACACCTGGCCAATATGGTGAAAGCCTGTCTCTACTAAAAACACAAAAATTAGTTGGGCATGGTGGCACACTCCTGTAATCCCAGCTATTCAGGAGCTAAAACAAGAGAATAGCTTGAACCTAAGCAGCAGAGATTGCAGTGAGCTGAGATCTGATGACTGCACTCCAGCCTGGGCAACAGAGCTACACTCCATCTCAAAAAAAAAAAAACAAGAAAAATCCTCCTTTTTGTGCTCACAAAAAGTGATAAACAATCTGGTATACATCTCCTTGTATACATGTGCCTTTGGAATATATCTCAAGCAGGGAACTTCTAGAACATGGTATGTGTATGTCTTGACATCTCTAACACTGTCACATTGCTTTCTGGGTTGGTTTTACCAGTCAACTCTCACTGGCAGTGTGTGAGAGCTCAGGAAGATGCTTCTCTTCACCTCCAGAAACACTTAGCATTACCTTTTTTTAAATTTGACAAGTATAAAATGTCATTTAAATTTGCATTTTTCTGACAGTAAAAGTTAACATATTTCCCTTTCCTTCCTTAAACATATATCAAAAGTAATTATATCTTCTACGGTAAAGAAGAACTTTCCATAAAATGAATCGCCTCAACAAATATGAGGACCTTTTCATTGAAAAATATTCTCAGGGCAAATTGTATTGAAATCAGAGGCTCCTCATTCTAGCACTGAGGCTACACAAGCTTTTAAACCACAAATTGGCAAACTCTTTTTGTAAAAGGCTAAATAGTAAACATTTTAGAATTTGTAGACCATAAGACAGTCTCTCTAACTACTATTCAATTCTGCCACTGTAGCACAAGAATGTATAAATAATAGGCGAACAAACCACTATGGCTGCATTCCAATAAAACTTCATTTAGAAATATAGAAGCTTGAAATTCATAGTAATTTTCACATGTCACAAAATTTTTCTTCTTTCTTTTTTGAGATGGGGTTTCACTCAGATGAGGTCTCAACCAGGATGGAGTGCAATGGCACAATCTCAGCTCAGTGTAAGCTCTGCCTTCCAGGCTCAAGTAATCTCCCATCTCAGCCTCCCAAGTAGCTGGGACAATAAGAATGACACCACGCTAGGCTAATTTTTGTATTTTTTGTAGAGATGGGGTTTCGTCATGTTGCCCAGGCTGATCTCAAACTCCTGAGCTCAGATGATCTGCCTACCTCAACCTCCTAAAGTGCTGGGATTACCGGTGTGAGCCCCCATGCTCGGCCACAAAATTCTCCTTTTGACTTTTTTTTTTCTTTCAGACGGAGTTTCGCTCTTGTTACCTAGGCTGGAGTGCAATGGTGCAATCTCGGCTCACCGCAACCTCCGCCTCCTGGGTTCAAGCAATTCTCCCGCCTCAGCCTCCTGAGTAGCTGGGATTACAGGCACACGCCACCGTGCCCAGCTAATTTTTTGTATTTTTAGTAGAGATGGGGTTTCACCATGTTGACCAGGATGGTCTCGATCTCTTGATCTCTTGATCCACCCATCTTGGCCTCCCAAAGTGCTGGGATTACAGGCTTGAGCCACCGTATCCGGCTCCTTTTGACATTTTTTTAACCAACCATTTAAAAAATGTAAAAAACGGCCGGGCGTGGTGGCTCACGCCTGTAATCCCAGCACTTTGGGAGGCCGAGGTAGGCAGATCACCTGGGGTCAGAAGTTCGAGACCAGCATGATCAACATGGAAAAACCCCGTCTCTACTAAAAAATAAAAATTAAAAAAAAGGAGTAAAAACCATTTCTTATGGGCCATACAAAAAGAGGGGGTAGGCCAGATGCAGTGATGGGGTACAGTTTGCCAACCCGTTTTAAACTATTACTGATGTTCTGTTTTGAACATTCTTGCCCACCTTTCCACCACTATTCTGTGAAATGCCTTTCACTGTGCTCAATTAGTAAAGCTCAGAGTTTCCTGCCATGTCTTTTTATGCATATTGTAACCACTTAAGTATTGACAGCAAAGTGAAAAGATAAAGCTTTGCCTCAATGAGCCACAAACTCCATCCTGCAGAGTGGTTGAGGAACACCGCGGATGCCACTGTTCTTAGAAAGTGCTCACTACAGCTGAAAGAGAAAAAACAAAAAGCTGGATAGAGAACTCACTGTTGGAACTGGCATAGAGGGTCCGAAGAGAGAAGCCGCTGAGTGTTAGCTCCCTCAGCTGGTTCCGCTCACAGTGCAGCTGTTCCAAGCTGCATAAGGAGCTAAGATCCAAGTCAGTCAGTTGGTTGTCCCGCAGATCCAAGTGAGTGATGCTTTTATTTCCCTCCAGATTTTCAACAACCATGGTTTTCAAATGGTTCATCCTTAATATGCAGAAACAAGAAAATAATCAGAAATATGAGTCTATTAAATGTGCTTACCAAAATAAAAAACAGGACAGGTATTATCCCTTTCTCTGTTTCCTTTTGTTTTTGAGACAGAGTTTTGCTCTTGTCACCCAGGCTAGAGTGCAGTGGTGCAATCTGGGCTCACTGCAACCTCCATCCCCCAGGTTTAAGTAATTCTCCTGCCTCAGCTTCCCAAGTAGCTGGAATTACAGGCGCCCCCACCACGTCCAGCTAATTTTTTACATTTTTAGTAGAAATGGGATTACACCATGTTGGGCAGGCTGGTCTTGAACTCCTGACCTCAGGTGATCTGCCCATCTCCGCCTCCCAAAGTGCTGGGATTACAGGTGTGAGCCACTGCACCCGGCCCCCTTCTGTTTTCTAAACAATTTAAGAACTTGACTTCTTGCCTAATTTTGCAAGGTACTATATAAATAACTACAGTTTATAAACAATTCAAGTTACAGCCAGGTTAGACAATCCAGACTGGCAAATACATATACAAATTAATAAAGAAAAGAGAAAAAGAGGTCATATGGACCAACAGTTAAACACTTAAATCAAAATACCTAATGAGGTCAGATGGGCACTAAGGAAGACAAAAGAAAAGGAAGATGAACACACTCTTTTTGGTTAGTGAGTAGCAAGCAGTCACAACAGTACCATGTCTAGAGTATAAGGATGGACCATACTTCCTCCTGTTGCTATGCCTGCTCTATCTCTAGTGTTAAGGTTCGCATAAAATTAATTAACAGACAAGGAAATAATCTGTATATATATGGAATCGTTCAAAGGCAAATTATAGAAAACGACCTCTAGGTTATTTTCCATACAAGTCTATGATTTAATTTATACATGTGTGTTCTCATTTTCTTGTATTTCTATAAATCTCTCTCTTAAGTCTCCAGTGTACTTAAAAAAAATTCTCGACCAGGCGCGGTGCTCAAGCCTGTAATCCCAGCACTTTGGGAGGCCGAGGCGGGTGGATCACGAGGTCAAGAGATCGAGACCATCCTGGTCAACACGGTGAAACCCTGTCTCTACTAAAAATACAAAAAATTAGCATGGTGGCGCGTGCCTGTAATCCCAGCTACTCAGGAGGCTGAGGCAGGAGAATTGCTTGAACCCAGGAGGCGGAGGTTGCGGTGACCCAAGATCGCGCCATTGCACTCCAGCCTGGGTAACAAGAGCAAAACTCCATCTCAAAAAAAAAAAAAAATTATCTCTTCCTCTCTTTATAAGGTGGTTTACTGTAAATAACAGAACATCCAGCAAGTGTCTTTTTATCAGCTTCCTTTAGGAAAAGATTATGACTAGAAAATAAAACTCTCATTTCCCATAATAAAGTTTTTTAAAATATTAAAAAATAAAGTTCTTAGTAATGAAACCTTTAACATCTTAATTGTAATACAATGGATATCAAGAAGAAACCCAATGGATATCAAGACAACAAGAAAATGTTTGTTTATGGAGAACTTTAAACTACTAAACTACTGATATACATATAAAAAGATGTTCAACCTCACTGCTAAATAAATAAATGTTGATACAAATAATGAAACACTTTCTTCAACCTACTAGACTGATGATAAAGAAAAAGAAAGGCTAAAATCCAGCACTGACAAACATATGAGAAAATGGGAATGCGCATAAAGTGTTAGAGGAGTTAGGCACAGTGGCTCACACCTGTAACCCCAACACTTTACGAAGCCAAAACAGGAGATTACTTGAGCCCGGGAATTCAAGACCAGCCTGGGCAACACAGTGAGACCCCATCTCTACAAAAAAATTTAAAAAATAAAAAATACATATTGCTGGGAGGGTAAGTGAAAACAACCTTTGTCAAAGGCAATTTGATAGACTCTATCATATGGTACAGCTACCTGATCCTTAATCTCTCTGCTACTGAGTGGTAAGTACAGTCTTACTCTACCTTTGAAAATATATATTCCTACATTGTTCAAAAAACCTAATGTAAGGGCTAGGCATGGCAGCTCACACCTGTAATCCCAGCACTTTGGGAGGCTGAGGCGGGTTGACTGCTTGAGTCCAGGCATGCAAAAATAGCCTGCACAACATGGTGAAACCCCAAACCTACTAAAAATAGAAAAAAATTAGCCAGGCATGGTGGTGTACACCTGAAGTCCCAGCTACTTGGGAGGCTGAAGTGGAAGAATCGCCTAAGAATGGGAGGTCAAGCCTGCAGTGGGCTGAGATCGTGCCACTGCACGCTAGCCTGGGTGACAAGTGAGATCCTGTCTCAAAACAACAATGACAATAAAAGTTTAAAAACCCTAATGTTTTAAACAAATCTTCATAAAGAGAAGACATAAAGGTCCACCAGAGTCAATCTAAAGGAAGCTATGCTAAAGAATAACCTTACCTTAAATCCACATGCTTGATATGGCTCATCCTATTGAGCACCCCTAAGTTCAGGACTTCCAGGCAATTTCCTGCCATAATCACTTTATCTAACATAGTAAGTTTCTCATAAACCTCAGGAATTTGACTAAAGTTGTTGAAGGAAATTCCCAAGGAGGAAAGCTGTTGTAGATTTCCCAATTCTTCAGGTAAAGTAGTCAGAAAGTTGCCATCAAGACAGAGGGTTTGAAGACTATGGGAAAAAAACAAAACAAGTCTACTTTATGAAAGGTTTCACTGGAATGGACAGAATCAGAGTTATGAATTCTTATTTATGTCACTAATTTGTTATCAATCTAAAAGTAGTAAAATGTCCTAACTCTCCATCTATACAGACTTAATAGATGACTTACACATAACTTACACAAATGGTCCCTCAACATTAAAGAGAGTTAAGACCTCTGCTGTTGAAGCTGAGGGATCAATCACTGCTATAGGCACGTAGATCTCCGAGGTCAAAAACTGCTGCTGACTAGAATCCTAATAAGTACATTATTTATTTCACTGCAAGACCCATGGTACTACCTTCATTCCAAACCCCAGGCAAGTTTCTAATTCTGCAAGGGAAAAGAGCAATCTAATCAAGTTACTTACTTTAGCAGATTGCCAATTTGACTTGGTAGGTCATGAAATCCATTACAGGAAAGGTTGAGCTCAGTCAGGGTAGAGATCTCGCATAACAATACAGGAAACAACCCAAGTTTATTGTGGGACAAATTCAGGCCCTTCAGTTGAGAAAATCTAAAGAGCAAAGGCAAAAATGTATATTGCATTTCAATAAATCTGTTACTGTATCTTTGCGCAGGACATCAATGGCCTCTGATGATCTATTTTAAATGTCTATCACAGAATTTATTCCAAAGATACTTACTGAGCACTCACTACACATCAAACATTGGGTGGGAACAGAGGACACCAAGACAACTAAGGCACAGTCCATGTGTTCAAGGAAACCAGGTCTCGCATTACAAGAGTTCTCTTTTCTCCTTAAAAAGGTAGACAGTCTTGAAGAACAGGTCGTGCTAGTACAATTCTTTTGTATTACATCATATTTGATATGCTCGAAATCTTTTTCCATTATTAAATTTCTACATGTAATATACAAAAGTCTTGCAGGAATCAATCAACTCATAGGCAAAGCAATAGCTAACAATTATGTAGATCAAATCTCATATATAAGCAACTTTTTTAATACTGAAATTATATTGGCTCAAATGTCACATGAATGAATAAACCAGTTAGAGCCTGAAAATGTGAATATGACAGCATTTTACCATTATGTGATCTGATATACAACACAAAATGGTAATTTTTAGTGCTTCTATTTTGTTCATGGAAGTAAAAGTTATCTATACTGTCTTACCCAGAGACAGTATTGTTATAAAATGGATCTCTTGAGTTTCTTCTTGATATCCATTGTATTATAATTAAGATCTTAAAGGTTTCATTACAAAGAACTTTTTTATGAGAGACTCTGGTAATTCCACTGAAGAATAGGATATTTTGTTATTATACAAGTGCAAGATGGTAAGGGTAACATGTTCTCCATGATGGTGATCTGTATCACCTGCTTCTATACTTGAATCCCCGGTACCTCACTCTAATGCTTTGCTTACATATTTTCAATGTTTAATTTCCAGATGACCTAACCTTGATTACTGATTATTCCTTTGGCTTGGTACTTTAAATTCAAAATTTATAATCCAGCCCTCAAACTGGACCCATTCTTTTCATAGCAACTCACAAAGAAATGCTGGAAACCAACTTCCTTAAAATTATAGCTTGTCTTCGCTTACATGCCAATGTTACTAAAATAACTATATCACTACTAGAGACTTGTATTTGAAAAACTTTCTAAAGTAAGTATCAGATGAGATTTTTAAAAATCAGAACATTTTCTGGACATTACTCTAGAATCATTAGCTATTAAGGAAGTACGTAAAATATGTCATTTTAATGTATATTATCCTTTTAGTCACCATCTAATTTAAATCGTTTCAAATGCTTTAATTTCCAATTTCTCCCTTCTCCTCCAGAAGCCAAGACAATTACTTACAACACATATTTATTCACTGCCTCCATTTTTAAGTGGAGGAGTGAGATGGGATGAGTGGAGGGTAGGAATGAGGTATATATTTTAGTAAAGGAGATGAAATAACAAGTAGGTCACAGTACTGTAGGGCTAAAATGGTTCCTTTATTAGAAGAAAGAAGCTTCACAGCTTAAGGGTTGGCAGTGGAAGGTATAAGGAAAAACAGAGTCTTGTCTCTCAGACTGAAATTCTTAAAATGAGGCCTATCTCCTTCAACTTATTTAAATTTTATACTTCTCATTCAAAACTTTCCTATATACTAAATCTCTTGATGTAATTTAGCTGCTGATCACACAACAATGTCAATGATTTACACGAAAAGACGACCCATATCAACTGGCAGCTCACAGAACATTTACATCAATCTTCTGTTTTACGAGGGGGAAAGAGCAGGTAGGAGAACTGTGTGAATAAAAAATTTTACTTCCTCTTTAAAAGAGAGTGAAAATTTTAGAATATACATACAACAGTAGCAGATGGAAGCCATAAGATACTGATTATAACTTGATTTGAACATGTCAGTCTGGAAACCCATTCTCCACATACTTGTAGAGTGTGTCGAGGCCTCCAGGTCTTTCTAACTGCATGAAGTTGTGTCGCAAGTTGAGGTAGGTGATATCTTGACTGTAGAAGAGATGCTCAGGAACCTCCTCGAGGCTGTAACACGAGAGATCCACGGTACTGATTCGCTGGGACACCACCTGAATAAGGTCAAAGAGAAGAGCCTTCTGAGCTAGTACTGAATGTCTATCACCCACCACAGAATGAAATGGTGTTTACACAAAAAGACATTAATTTAAAAAATAGGGAAAAAAAAGGTAATAAGATCCAATTATTCATTTATAAAAACCAGTTAATTTTTACTTTTTCTTAAAACCATAAGCTGCTTAAAAAACAAGGGTATAAGTTATAGTGTCTACAAGTAAAAGGTAAAAAAGGAAAAACACAAATCATTAAAGATGGAAAGTTAACACTTCATGCAAGAAGTAATCTTTTTTTTTCTTTTGAGACAGAGTCATGCTCTGTCAGCCAGGCTGGAGTGCAGTGGCACAATCCTGGTTTACTTCAACCTGTCTCAGGGACTCAAGCAATTCTCCTGCCTCAGCCTCCTGCATAGCTGAGATTACTACAGATGCACACCACCATGCTCGGCTTATTTTTGTTGTTGTTGTTGTTGTTGTTTTTGAGATGGAGTTTCACTCTTGTTACCCAGGCTGGAGTGCAATGGCGCGATCTCGGCTCACTGCAACCTCTGCCTCCTGGGTTCGGGCAATTCTCCTGCCTCAGCCTCTTGAGTAGCTGGGATTACAGACATGCGCCACCATGCCCAGCTAATATTTTGTATTTTTAGTAGAGACGGGGTTTCACCATGTTGACCAGGATGGTCTCGATCTCTTGACCTCGTGATCCACCCGCCTCGGCCTCCCAAAGTGCTGGGATTACAGGTGTGAGCCACCGCGCCCGGCTGTTTTTTGTTTTTTAGTAAAGATGGGATTTCACCAAATTGCCTAGGCTGGTCTCGAACTCATGATCTGACCACCTTGGTCTCCCAAAGAGTCTCTGAGCTAGTACTGAATGTCTACATCCTGTCTACATGGGATTACAGGCATGAGTCACCACGCCCAGCCCTGGCTAATTTTTGTATTTTTAGTAGACACAGGGTCTCACCATGTTGGTCAGGTTGGTCTTGAACTCCTGACCTCTGGTAATCTGCCCACCTTGGCCTCCCAAAGTGCTGGTACAGGTGTGAGTCACCATACTTGGCTATAAGAAGTAACCTTAAAATGATTAGAAATAACTGGAAAAAAATTTAAGAGGCAGTGTGATATGAAAAGACATGGGCTGGCCGGGCGCGGTGGCTCAAGCCTGTAATCCCAGCACTTTGGGAGGCCGAGGTGGGTGGATCACGAGGTCAAAAGATCGAGACCATCTGGTCAACATGGTGAAACCCCGTCTCTACTAAAAATACAAAAAATTAGCTGGGCATGGTGGCGTGGGCCTGTAGTCCCAGCTACTCAGGAGGCTGAGGCAGGAGAATTGCCTGAACCCAGGAGGCGGAGGTTGCGGTGAGCCAAGATCGTGCCCACTCCAGCCTGAGTAACAAGAGTGAAACTCTGTCTCAAAAAAATAAAAAAAAAAGACATGGCCTTTTATAGCCACACTAGCTCTGCTACTCAGCACAGTTTCTTCATCTGTTTTGAGGATACAAGTAAATAACTGGCTGGGCAAGGTGGCTCACGCCTATAATCCCGGCACTATGGGAGGCCCGAGGTGGGTGGACTGCCTGAGGTCAGGAGTTCAAGACCAGTCTAGTCAACATGGTAAAACCCCATCTCTACTAAAAATACAAAAAACTTAGCCAAGCATGGTGGTATGCACCTGTAATCCCAGCTACTTGGGAAGCTGAGGCAGGGGAATTGCTTGAACCAGGGAGGTGGAGGTTGCAGTGAGCAGAGATCACACCACTACACTCCAGCCTAGGCAACAGAGCAAGACTTCACCTCAAAGCAAAAAAGTAAATAACCAAACACAGTACACTGCTAAACATGCAAAGGATACTAAAAAAAATTCTTTTTCTTTAAAAGAGCAGAAGAATGAAATTGCTGCTTAAAACTGAAATGTTTTATTCAGAGCAGATTTTAGAGCCAATACAATATAACTACAAAATATTAAATAAAATCAAAAGAAGTTCCTATAACAGTATGCAAATATAAAATGGGTTACAAAAATTGATCTAAAAAAAAACAAACAAGGCTGGGTGCAGTGGCTCACACCTATAATCCCAGCACTTTGGGAGGCCAAGGCAGGTGGATCACCTGAAGTCAGGAGTTCGAGACCAGCCTGCCCAATATAGTGAAACCCTGTGTCTACTAAAAATACAAAAAAATTAGCTGGGCATGGTGGCGCACACCTCTAGTCCCAGCAACTCCAGAGGCTGAGGCAACAGAATCACTTGAACCTGGGAGGCAGAGTTTGCGGTGAGCCAAGACTATGCTACTGCACTCCAGCCTGGGCAACAAGAACAAAACTCCAACTCAAAAAAAAAAAAAATCTAATCTATCACTAAAAAGTCATTTATTCATGGCTAGGCACAGTGGCTCACGTCTTAATCCCAGCACTTTGGGAGGCCAAGGTAGGCGGATCACCTGAGGTCAGGAGTTTGAGACCAGCCTGACCAACACTGTGAAACCCCATCTCTACTAAAAATACAAAAATTAGCTAGGTGTGGTTGTACAGTCCTGTAATCCCAGCTACTCCAGAGTCTGAGGCAGGAGAACTGATGGAACCCGGAGACAAAGGTTGCAGTAAGCCAAAACGGTACCACTGTACTTCAAAAAGAAAAAAAGAAAAGAAAAGTCATTCACGTTTTGACAGCATATCCTTATACTGTAACAATCTCTTTATACAAAATCCGGTAACAACAGCTAGAAAAGGAGAAATTGAAAATCACAATACACTTTATTGCTCTTTAAAGGCTAATGCCAGAAATTATGCTCAAAGACTAATTTTCCTCAGCATATAGGAATAATGGCTTGTGACAGCATTAGAGGTCACTATCCCATCAATAAACGCAAATTTGAAGTGGTTCACCAAGGTTGTTCTGAACATCTGCAGACCAAGAAGCACTGAGACACAAGTTACAGAATGAAACCATCTATCACTGACTACTAAAGTTGAGGGAAGGTCATTTAAATCTCATTGTATCTCAATTCCTTCAAGAGTCAAATCTCTCTGTGTCTTAATTCCTTCTAAGGCCCTACCTCACAGAGATAGTACAGATGAAAATACCCTTGAAAACATTTTTGAGAGCATTTTGTACTATGCAAATATAAATAAGTTAAAGACCTCGTAGAATTCCATGATTTTATTCATTATATACTCAGAAAAGGCCTAGAAAGGAAAATAAAAATTGTAACTTGCTATCTTGGGAATAAGTTTAGTTTCTTTTTTTGTTTTGTTTTTTTGAGATGGAATTTCGCTCTTATTGCCCAGGCTGGAATGCAATGGCACAATTTTGGCTTATCGCAACCTCCTGGGTTCAAGTGATTCTCCTGCCTCCCAAGTAGCTGAGACTGCAGGCATGCACCACCATGTCCAGCTAATTTTGTATTTTAGTAGAGACAGGGTTTCTCCATGTTGGTCAGGCTGGTCTCAAAACTTCCAATCTCAGGTGATCCGCCTGCCTTGGCCTTCCCAAAGGGGTGGGATTACAGGTGTGAGCCACCTCACCCGGCCATCAGTTTTGAAACACATTTCTCTTGGAGTTCTCTATTCTTATCTCCACCTCAGAACATCCCACCATTTTCACCTTGGATGCTTGCCGTTGCCATCGCTGGCACTCAGCCAAAGTCTCAAAGCTGACATGATAGGTCTGAGCTTGGGCTCCGGCTGAGCTGAAAGCAAGGGAGTACTGCCGTCGCTTCACTTCTTCTATCTGAAGAAGAGGAGGGGAGAAAACTAGAATCACTAAAAAAAAAAAATCCAAGTCAAAAAGCAAAAGGCAATCACAAGACGAACAACTGAATTTTTTTAAACAGACTTTTTAATTTTTTCTCTCTACCCTCTTGTCCCCCTCCATCTGCCAATGGGTCACACATGAATATACAATGATCTCAACATATTAGCTGTGCTTTTGCTCTATCCCCAGCAGCTGGGTAGCACCTCTTGTCCTCAGGACTTGCTGGTCAGGAAGCAGGATACCAGTACACTGTGAACCCCATACTGCACGGATTCTTACCAAGTTCTCTTGAGTTCCATTCAAATCTTTTACTAGGCTTGAGAAAAGAGGCAAAAACTTCCCCCATTCCTATTTGGAGTGGTGGCAGGAATTCACAGCACAATAATAGCTCCTTAAAGAAATTCTCGGCCGGGCATGGCGGCTCACACCTGTAATCCTAGCACTTTGGGAGGCCAAGGCAGGCAGATTACAAGGTCAGGAGTTCGAGACCAGCCTGGCCAACATAGTAAAACCCCATCTCTACTAAAAATACAAATAACTGGCTGGGCATGGTGGCAGGCTCCTGTAATCCTAGCTACTTGGGCAGCTGAGGCAGGAGAATCACTTGAATCCGGGAGGTAGAGGTTGCAGCAAGCTGAGATTGCGCAACTGCACTCCAGCCCAGGTGACAGTGTAAGACTGTCTCAAAAAAAAAGAAAGAAAGAAAAAAAAATTCTCCCCCGAATTCCAACTACCCTATAACTTTGATAAGGAAGCAGCCTTTTTATAGTTATGGAACCACACATCTTTGTCTGGTATCTCAGTTACGTCATAGCTACTGAATCTTGGCAAATCAGATGGAAACTTACATTAGGTTTCTGTGCCAACTAAAGATTGAATCAAACAGCAGAAACAAAATACTTCAAAAAAAGAGAATCATATTGAAAAGATCCATTAAAATTAAATAATTTTCACAATATTAAATTGTGATACAACATAACCATTTTTCACTAGTAACAAATCATTGCAACTGAAGGAGTGCCAAAATAAAGAACATTACTGAAATAAAGAATAGATACTAATTGTTTTAGGGTAATATTTTAAGTATTTTATTGTGGAATGCTTGACACAGAAAAGTACAGAGAATCACATAATGTCAAACACTGAGAAAGGTTTGTAAATCTCTCACTATAAGTTAACTTGTCAACTTCCCTGAGTAATTATTTTAATTTTTGTATTACAGATATTGAGATTATATTGTTACATACATACAACTTTGGAATTATTAAATAGTGATGGTAAAATGTTTATTTTATCACTTTGTAGTGAGCCTCTTTATCCCTACTAATGCTTTTTGCATTAAAGTCCTTTTGATCCAGCTACTTGGGAGGCTAAGGCAGGAGAACTGCTTGAACCCGGGAGGTGGAGGTTGCAGTGAGCCGAGATCACGCCACTGCATTCCAGCCTGGGTGACAGAGCGAGACTCCATCTCCAAAAAAAAAAAAAAAAAAGTCCTTTTGGAGATAAGTTTTATGGAGGTAACCTAAAAAAGAAAAATCACTTTTTTTGTTTTGTTTTGTTTTCTTTGAGATAGGTCACTCTGTCACCCAGACTGGAGTACAATGCATGATCATGATTCACTGCAGCCTCAACCTTATAGGTTCAAGCCATCCTCCTGCCTCAGCTTCCTGAGTAGCTACAACTACAAGTGTGTGCCACTGTTCCTGGCTAATTTTTTAAATTTTTTGTAGCGACAGAGTCCCATTTATGTTGCCCAGGCTGGTCTTAAACTCCTAGACTCAAGCAATTCTCCCACCTTAGTCTCCCAAATTGCTAGGATTACAGGTGTGAGCCACTGTGCCATATCTGGCCCTGATCTTTTTTTAATTCACTGATTCTAAGTGACCAATTTCATGAGTTTTTATGAATCAATAAATACAGTGTGCAACCCCATGACCCCAAAACTACCCTGTGCTCCTTTACAGTCAGTCCCCTCACCACCAACCCTGGCAACCACTGATCTGTTTTCTATCACTGTAATTTTTTGCCTTTTTCAGAATTTCACATAAATCCAATAATTCAATAAATAGACTTTTGTATCTGGCTTCTTTCACTAGGAATTATACTTTCAAGATTCATCCTTGTTCTTGTAAAAGCAGGTTTTGTTTTGTTTTGTTCTATTTCATGATATAGCTACATCATATTTGTTTATCAATCCACAAGTCAATGAGTATTTAAGTTGTTTCTAGTTTTTGGCCATTATGAACAAAGTTGCTATGAACATTCACGTACAAGTCTTTGTAAGCACATATGTTCATTTCTTTTGGATAAAAACTAGTCGAATTGCTGGGTCACTTGAAAAGCTTATGTTTAATTTTACAAAAATGAATAAACTGTTTTGCAAAGTAACTTCACTCCTACCATGATGTATAAATGTTCCAGTTGCTCTGCATCACTGCCAAACTTGCTATTCATCAGTCTTTTAATTTTAGCCATTTTAGTGGTGTGCAATAACTCACCGTGATTTGCATTTGCATTTTCCTAATGAGAAATGAGGCTGAAGATCTTTTAACGTGTTTATTTGCTACCTGTGCTTCTGCTTTGGTGATGGGTCTCTTCAAATCTTTTGCCCAGTTTTTAACTGGGTTATTTGTCTTTTTGTTACTTAGTTGCAAAAGTTCCTTATATATTCTGAATACAAGTCCTTTTTGCATATAAACATTCATATAACTGTTTCATATGCTATTAATACAACCACACCAATTTTCTTTTGGTTGCTATTTGATGAGTATATATTCTTTCATTATTTTACCTTCAACCTTCTAAGAGTAAGTTCTAATTATATCTCTTATAAGCAGCAAATAGTATTTAAAATAACATTTGACTATCACAATCATTGTGATTACTGATATATTCAGATTTATTCCTATCGCTATAATTTGTGATAATTTATCATGCTAATTATTTTGCTCCTTTTTCTCAATTCTTTTTGCCTTTAGTTTTACAAAGTTTTCCATATCCTCTTTTTCTCCTCTACTGTTAAATTTTTCTAATAAACTTTAAGATTATTTGATGTTTCTATCCCTTATCCCAACAGCGTATATCACACTTCACTTAACACACTGCCACATTTAAACACTCATGTTTGTCATTTATAGAAAATTTTCAGCTCTTATTTTTACAGATGTTACTTCTCTTTTCTCTTCCTCTCTTCTCTAGAACTCCTATTAGATATATACCAGAGCCTTTCTGAAGGGTTCTCTAATAATTTTTGTCTGTGAAATTCTTCAGTACATCAATTAACTACATTCAGCTACTAAACAGTGGCTTAAAAAAAATGGAGGAGTCAGTCCAGGACTAGCATAGCAGCTCCATATGTCAGCAAGGACCCAGGCTCCTTCTTTCTCAAATGCTACATTTGACATCTGCTTGCCAACTCACAGTCATCACATGACTGCTCCACCTCTGACACTGACGGACTGTGCTCCATAAAGGAAGAGTAAGGCAAAGGGTCAAGTCATCACTTTCCAACCTTCAAAGGTCAAGCTCTTTAAAAATCTATCCCATTTTAAAGAGCTTTTCCAAAAGTCCTTCCAGGATACTTCTGTCTATATCTCAGTAGCTACAAGAGGGGTTTAAGGATTTAGCTTTTGATCCCAGGCACACTGCTACCCTGAACAAAATTCTATTAGCAAACAGAATAGACAAAATTACTCTTCATCAATTCTCTCTGCCTAATTTAGAGTTTAAACCACGTAAGTTTTAAATTTTAGTAACTGTATTTTTATTTCCAATATTCTATTTGGTTCTTTCATAGGCAGATATTCTTATTTCTGAATTTGTTTTCCATTTTTGCTCTTCCATTCTCTCCTAGAAAATTCTAAACACATTTATTTTCAAGTTTTTTCAGGATGTTCATTTATTTCAATTTCAATCTGAAGTGAGTTTATCTTCTGATGGTTGAGTATGTGGAAATCTTCCCTAGTATTAAATTTCTCTGGTTATTTTTCCTTTTTTTTTTTTTTTTTTGTATGTGTATGAGAAGCAGTTTACTTTTCAGGTTCATTGAACAGGAGGTTCATTTTCTCTCTCACCCTATCTGCTGTTTCCTCTCCACCAATCCCTAACCTTGTCCTCATTCACTCTTTCCCTCTCAAGCAATTCTACTTACTTTCTTCACTTTGTCCTTCAGCCCCCAAGACCTCATACTGGCAGTGGTAGGTTCTGGCCCCATGGATGAAACTGGAGTTACAAACATTCATTCATTAAACTAGTAGGGACTTCATTCATTTCCTGATCATAGGCCATATAACTGGATTTTCCCACCTCTCTAGGACCACAGCTAGAAATAAGCCTTGGTTCCAGTCAGTGTTTAATGGCAATTTTTGGTTTAGCTTTCTTTCAGAAACAAAAAACACTCATCAGCCTGGCTTTAGGCCATAAACCTAACCCAGGTCTCCCATTTGAACAGAAAACTATTAGACCTAAGAGACAAACTCCTGGGCTGCCACAAACTTTCAGAGCCCAGGAGGCCCACAGACTCAAACCTTCTGATCATTTTATGCTTCTATTCTGTATTTCTAAGCCCAGCTAGGTCTTATCATATATTTATTATTTTTATTTTGTGTAAGAGAAAGGGTCTCACTCTGTCACATGAGGCTAGGATATAGCAGCACGATCACAGCTCACTGCAGCTCGAACTCCTGGGCTCAAGCCATCCTCCCACCTCAGTCTCCCAAGCAGCTGAGACTTTGTTTTATTCCCATTAAGCTTTACTCATTTATACAATTTGCACCATCACAACTGAACTATTTATTCCAGTTAAGCTTTACTAATTTATATAGTTTGCACTACCGCAACTGGCTATTTTTTCCTTTTTTTGAGACAGAGTCTTGCTCTGTCTCCCAGGCTGGAGTGCAATCGTGCGATTTTGGCTCACTGCAACCAGGTTCAAGCTCGCCTCCTGAGATTAAGTGATTCTCCTGCCTCAGCCTCCCAAGTAGCTGGGATTACAGACACCCACCATCACGCCCAGCTAGTTTTTTTTTTTTTTTTAATTTTTAGTAAAAACAGGATTTTACCATGTTGGCCAGGCTGGTTTTAAACTCCTGACCTCAAGTGATCTGCCCCTCTAGGCCTCCCAAAGTGCTAGGACTATAGGCATGAGCAACCTCTCCCACACAAGACAGGGTCTTGCTAATGTTGCTCAGACTGTTCTCAAACTCCTTTCCTCAAGTGATCCTCCCACCTCAGCCTCTTGAGTAGCGGGGAATACAGGCACACAAGCCACCATACCTAGCTTATTTATTTATTTATTTATTTAATTGTTTTTAGAGACGCGGTCTTACTATGTTGCCCAGGCTGGGGTGCAGTGGCTATTCACAGGTGTGATCCCACTACTGATCAGCATGGGAGTTTTGACCTGCTCCATTTCCGACCTGGGCTGGTTCACCCTTAGGCAACCTGGTGGTCGCCCGATCCCAGGAGGTTACCATATTGATGCCGAACTTAGTATGGACACCCAATCGGCACAACACTACAGCCCAGAACTCCTGGGCTCAAGCAATCCTCCCACCTCAGCTTCCTGAGTAGTTGGGACTACAGGCACGCGCCACCACACCCAGCTATTTATCTTTTTAATATATATATATTCTATCTATATTGCTGTGTATTTGGATCAGACTAGATGCCTGATCCAAAGTATGAATTCATGAGGTAATTTTGTCTGGAAGTCCTCTTAAATTCAGATTGGTTTATGACATTCAAGATTCAAAACAGAATAAAATCATGTATAGCTTTCTATAAATATTAATATATCTGTTTATGGTCATTTGTCATTCTGTCTAATAAGTGAACTCCTTTCCTGGGATGGAAAATCCTCTAGGACAGATGGAAGAAATGAAATGGCTCCCTGGCTGCTGGATCATATCTTATAACTACTTCAGACTCTGAATTTTAATTTAATTGGGAAAAAGAAAATCCCACAAAGAATCTATTTGGTGATGGATGCTGGCAGCTATTTCTGATTTCCAAAGGCAGCTTCTAATGGTAGCATCCACTGTTTACTCTAGCTGTCGTCAGCCACAGAATGTAGTGCCCAGCAGTGGAGGTTGGAATGTCTTGAAGAGATGTTCTGCAGGCAGGATTTGGGGCATAATTGCCTCTGAACCTCTCAGAGAGTCTCTGATATAATCTTTAATAATGCCCACACTGGCTTCTTTGAAAAGATATGAATAAAAGCTATGAAAAGCCTATGTGATATTTTCCTAAGATGAGAAATGAAAAACAATTCATCTTTGTGAGTCTTACCTTTCCCCCAACCAGAGGCAAAATGTGCATCTTTCCAGTTTGACAATCCTTCACTGAGGAAACTATAAGGCAGGTACCACAGAGGACAACTAGGCGTTCAGCCCACTTATGCAGCTGGGTCTTTCCCTTGCGTACATTATAGATGCCAGACAGCAGGATTCGATCCAGATGATCCATCTGGCATGGCTTTTCTGAAAAGAAAACAATACTTCAGAATACACCATTAAAGTAGTATAAGAATACAGAAAGAAAAGAAGAAAGTATTATATATCAACATTCAACAACCTTACTTATAGGTGTCAATAACCAAGTAATAAAGTTATGACAAAATTAGATCTAATCCTCAAAGATTATCCATCACTGAATTATATACAGTGGGAGTACCTGTAAATTTTGGTCTACAAAGCAAAATTTTACTTTAGATGCCATTGTTAAATTAACCCATTTTCCAACAGCTGTAACTCCTCTGTACCTAGAGAAAGGCAATATGGTAGAGTGGTTAAGATCATGAACTCTGGAGTCAGATATACTTGAATTTGAATGCTGCTTCTGTCACTTTGTTTCCTTGAACTATTTATTCCCATTAAGCTTTACTCATTTATACAGTTTGAATCTTAACACAACCTACCTTCTGGAGATTCTTATAAAATTAAAATAATTAATATAAAATAATAAGCATAGTTTTCGGTACAAAAGGAACATGAAATAAATGACAACCACTACTTTTATTAGTCTATTCTAGAAGGAAGAAATTAGTAACTATAGGAGTACTCTAATTTTGTACAGAATCCTCCATCTCTCTGCCACTAATATGGAAAAGCTCATGTGTGGTACTTCAATCAACTACTCCAATCATGGTGATGGAAATTCTACTTCCCATCAGAGGCCTTCATATGACTGAGATACAGTGAACAAATCACCACATTAAAACAGGAAAAACGTGAAGTTCTTGGTAAAAGCACCATTAAAATCAGTGTGCACCTGTACTCCAGGTACTCAGGAGGCTGAAGCTGGAAGACTGGTTGAGCCCAGGAGTTCAAGGCCAGCCTGGGCATCATAGAAAGACCCTGTTTCTTTAAAAAAACACAACTATACACAGAAATGAGCAGGAGCAGCAGTATGAGGTGGTACAAACAATAACCCAGAAGCTGGAAAGACTGGGTTGTACTCCTGATATTATTACATAATTGATTATACAAGCTTAGATAAACTTTGGCTATTTAACCATGTGTTTCCCAAATATAATATGAGGAAATGAGCTAGATTACTTCAAAGCCTTAAAACCGCATTATTCAATAAAATTTTGTATATTAATACACTATATGGGATAATCATTTCTCCTTCTACTCTAGGACAATCCTTTCATTTACACAGTCATTCCTTGTTACTGGAAGGTGAGTGATTCCAGGAACCCCTGAGGATACCAAACTCCATAGATGCTGAAGTCTCTTATACAAAACAAAATGGTATTTGCACATAACCTACACACATCTTCCTGTACACTTTGAATCATCTCTAGATTACTTATAATACCTAAAACAATGTAAATGTTATGTAAATAGTTGTCATGCTATATTTATTTTTTCATTTTTTAAATACTTTTGATCCATTGTGGATATGAATGGCTGACTATATTCTAAATTCTACCTTTCTCAGAGAGTCTGATTCTAGCAAATCTATATTCCTAAACTCTAGTTCCACATATCCAACAATCCAGTTATCTCCAACTGCATGTTTACCATCACTTAAAATTCAACATGCCTGTCCAGCGCCTATAATTCCAGCACTTTGGGAGGCCAAGGTGGGCAGATCACGAGGTCAGGAGTTCGAGACCAGCCTGACCAACATGGTAAAACCCTGTCTCTACTAAAAATACAAAATTAGGCTGGGTGCGGTGGCTCATGTCTGTAATCCCAGCACTTTGGGAGGCCAAGGCAGGCAGATCAGCTGACGTCTAGAGTTTGAGACCAGCCTGGCCAACATGGTGAAACCCCATCTCCACTAAAAACACAAAATTTAGGTGGATATGGTAGCAGGCACCTGTAATCCCAGCTACTCAGGAGGCTGAAGCAGGAGAATTGCTTGAACCCGGGAGAAGGAGGTTGCAGTGAGCCGAGATCATGCCACTGCACTCCAGCCTGGGCAACAGAGTGAGACTTCATCTCAAAAAAACAAAAAAACAAAAATTAGTTGGGCATGGTGGGTTGCGCATGCCTGTAATCCCAGTTACTCAGAAGGTTGAGACAGGAGAACAGCTTGAACCCGGGAGGTGGAAGCTGCAGTGAGCCAAGATAGCACCACTGCACTACAGCCTGGGAGACAGAGCTAGACTCCATCTCCCATCCCTGCACAACAGCAGCTCCTTCTCACAATTCAAGCTCATCTCCTGAAGTTACCCACGATCAAAACCTCAGAAGCAGCTTCAACTCTTGGGTTTGCTTTCTCAACTTCCCTTTTCAATCAACCATCAAGTCTTAGTGATTACTCTTTCAAAAAGTCTCTCATATGAACAATTCCTTTCTAATTCCTAGATCAGATCCTTACTAATTCATATCTAAATCATTATCCACACTGGCAACAGATTTGTCCTCCTTGGGCTCACTTGGATCCCATTACTTTCTGCTATCATCTGCCAAATGATGGCTAAACTCCTGATGGAGCACCCATGGCCCAAAACAATCTGAACTCAAACAAACTGTGATTCATAAATATGCAATGTAATTTCTAATCTCCCACCATTGCCTTCTTTTTCATTCCTGCTTGTGGAAACACTATCAGGTTTTAAAGAACCAACTCAAACACAGCTTTTTCACAAAGACTTCTCCAATTTCTAGACATCTCTGATTTTCCAGATAAGATCAGTGACAGAAAACCTCACTATCAGCTAGCAAAATAGATCACATATGTATATCAGTAAAAATCTGGCCAGGTGCAGTGGCTCACACCTGTAATCCCAGCACTTTGAGAGACCCAGGTAGTTGGGTCACTTGAGGCAAGGAGTTTGAGCCCACATGGCAAAACCCCATCTCTACTAAAAACAAAAATTAGCCTGGCATGGGCACCTGTACTCCGGCTACTCGGGAAGCTGAGGCAGGAGAATCACTTGAACTCAGGAGGCAGAAGCTGCAGTGAGCCGAGATCACCCACTGCACTCAGCCTGGGCGAAAGAGCAAGACTCTGTCTCAAAAATAATAAAATAATCTTTAAAATTGACTGGCTGGGTGTGGTAGCTCATGCCTATAATCCCAGCACTTTGGGAGGTTGAGGCGGGTGGATCACCTGAGGTCAAGAGTTCGAGACCAGCCTGACCAACATGGTGAAACCCCATTTCTACCGAAAATAGAAAAATTAGCCAGGCACTATGGGAGAAGCCTATAATCCCAGCTTCTTGGGAGGCTGAGGCAGGAGAATCTCTTGAACCCAGGAGGCGGAGATCACAATGAGCCAAGATAGTGCCATTGCACTCCAGCCTGGGTGACAGAGCAAGACTCTATCTCAAGAAAAAAAAAAATTGACTAAACAGTGACTAAAGGCCAGGCACAGTGGTTCATGCCTATAATCCCAGTACTTTGGGAGGCTGAGGCTCGCAGATCACAAAGTCAAGAGATCAAGCCCATTCTGGCCAACATAGTGAAACCCTGTCTCTACTAAAAATACAAAAACTAGCTGGGCGTGGTGACATGCACCTGTAGTCCCAGCTACTTGGGAGGCTAAGACAGGAGAATCGCTTGAACCCAGGAGTCAGACGTTGCAGTGGGCTGACTCATGCCACTATACTGAGGCTGGCAGATCACAAAGTCAAGAGATCAAGACCATCCTGGCCAACATAGTGAAACCCTGTCTCTACTAAAAATACAAAAATTAGCTGGGCGTGGTGACATGCACCTGTAGTCCCAGCTACTTGGGAGGCTAAGACAGGAGAATCGCTTGAACCCAGGAGTCAAAGGTTGCAGTGGGCTGACTCATGCCACTATACTCATGAGACAGACTGAGATGCCGTATCAAAAATAAAATAAAAAATAGTGACTAAATAAAACTTCAAAACTTGTGCACAATATAAAGTAATAAATAAAATTAAAAGTTACAGGCTGGAAAAAAATTGAGTCATAAATATAGTACCCTAAGGACATGTGTTCAGAATATATGCAGAAGTCCTTGAAATCGATACAAAAAAAGAGAAACAGAAAGATGTACAAAAATATCAGTAAGTAACTCAAAGAAGTCAAAAGATCCGATAACAATATGAAATAATTCTCAACCACACTAGTAGAGAAAGGGGGAAATTTTTTTATTGCATTTTGGGTTGTGGGGTACATGTGAAGAACATGCAAGATTATTGCATAGGTACACAGATGGCAGTGTGATTTGGAAAAAAAAAATTTAAACAAAGAGACCATCATTTTATCTATCAGATTAGTAAAAATTTTAAAGCCTGGCCGGGAATGGCAGCTCACACCTGTAATCCCAGCACTCTGGGAGGCCAAGACGGGCAGATCACTTGAGGTCAGGAATTCCAGAACAGCCTGGATATTCCAGTCTCTACTAAAAATACAAAAATTAGCGGGGTGTGGTGGCAGGTGCCTGTGATCCCAATCACTTGGGAGGCTGAGTCAGGAGAACTATTTGAGTCCGACAGGTGGAGGTTGCAGTGAGCCAGATGGCACCACTGCACTCCACCCTAGGTGACAGAGCAAGACTTTGTCTCAAAAATAAATACATACATACATACATACATTAATTAATTAATTAAAAAGAAACTCAGGTTCTGCCACCTTCCATACTTGACTTCTATCTAATACTGATCTGATTATTGCCATCCTAGCCCGCCATAGAGGAAAAGAGCATAAAAGCACTGAGAAGCACACACCGGGGATTTTAGGAACCAGGCAGAAGTAGGACACATCAAGTCTACTTCATACCATGGAAGAAAATTCTGTCACATGGACACACCTAATTGCAAGAAAGGCTGGGAAATGGGCTACAGCTGGGCAGTTATATGCCCACTACAATTTTGTTATTATGAAAGAAAAGATTTTGATAAACAATAGTATAGCCACACATCTCCTAACAATATGGCTGTGTTAAGCCTGTTTTTTGAAGTTTAAATGAATGGAAACATATGATGTAATTCTTTGTCTGATTTCTGATGTTTGTAATTTATGCTCTTTGACAAAACTGTTTTATCAACGTGTCCAGAGAATGTAGTACACAGAGAAATGTTCAGGCAGGGAGTTGTGCTACCTAAGCTATAAAGTCCCAGAGCTACAACTTCCCTCACAAATCACACCCTCTAAATGACACTTCCTCTGATGCAAATAAGGGATTATTTGTTCTTTCTCTCTCTCTTTTTTTTTTTTTTTTAGGTGGACAGGAAGTAGGATTTATTGGTGAGCATTAAGAGGGGGCAGCACAGTGGAAGCCCTCCCAGGGCCACAACTGGGGATGCAATTGATCCTGCAGCCCTCTGGGATGAGCTGCTTCTCAGCCACAATGTCTTCAAATTCATCTACATTGAACCTGATAAAGCCCCACTTCTTAGAGATGTGGATCTTCTGGCGGCCAGGGAACTTCAACTTGGCCCTGCGTAGGGCATCAATCACACGTTCCTTGCTCTGCAGCTTGGTGGGGATGAACATAACTTGGCCAATGTGAACTCCGGCCACACTGCCCTGGGGCTTTCCAAAGGCACCTCACACACCTGTTTGGAGCCCAGACTAGGGATAGTGCAAAGTCAGGACATGAACATATATCTGAAAGGCCTGTCTCCAAGGTCCCTTAGAGCAACCCATATAAGAAACAGGCTGACTACACTACCAAGGAAGCTGCTGTTTGTAGCCACTGCACACTGGGCCCCCATGAGGAAAGGAACTCAGTCAGCTTAACTGGCTGCAGAGGATTTACAGGCTCTCTTAATCCCATGATTGCTCATGCTACCTATACAACTTGACTTTAGTGAAATGTTCTTTCCACAGCTTTTTTATTACAAATTTAAACTGAGAGAGTCATTCCACTCACTTCCCACCCCCCACTCCCTCTCTAGCAAGACTGATAACTTGCATTTGCATAATGGTTGATTGGGACACTATCCAGCGTCCTTTTATAACCAGGGAACACAATATTAACTGGTTTGCACTTAGGCCCTTATGACCTTGACCTAACTAACACTATATTCCAACGAAGCTGACTCAACAAAAATTCTACACATAAAAGATTTAAAGCTGATTACTAAGCTATTTACTTCAAAGAGAATACTTCAGGTCTTTCCTTCAGTTAAAAGTAGTTGTGTCTGGTTTCAGGAACTGGGTAGTTGGTGGGAAAAGGTGAGAGAGAAGCATATTTTCTAAGATAGTTTTGATAGAGGCAGGAGGCAGAGAAATTCTAGGCAGACAGGGGCTGGTCCCCAGCAAAACCCCACCTTCAAGCCGAAAAGACTGAAACCTGTGACCCAAAGTGAGACTTTCCATCCCTGTGTGTCTGCTCTCCACTGAATGGTTCTTTCTGAGTAATGTCTTTTCACCAATTGAATATTATCTTTTCAAAAACTACCTACAGCACACCCCGCCTCCCATCCTGTGCCGATAAAGACCCCAGACTCAGCCAGTAGAGAAGAGAAGCAGCTGGACATTAGGCAGAGGTGACTAGACTTCAGAAGACGGAGGCAGAGAGGAGACTTGACTTTAAGGAAAAGTGACGTGCCCGTCCCATCCCTTTTCCAGCTCCCCTCTTCACTAAGAGCTGCTTTCATCACCCAATAAAATTCTCCACATTCACCATCCTTCAATTTGTCCACATGACCTCATTCCTATTGGGCACCAGACAAGAATTCGGGATGCACCAAATGCTGGTATTCAAAAGGCTGACACATTGGCCCTTTGCCCTCGTTGGTGGAGGGGCGCTGTCCTACACAACAAGGCAAAGAGCCCACCGAGCTGGTAACACACTGCTGTCTGCAGATGACAGAGCTAAGAAAGCATTACAACACGTCCTCTGCGGTCTTGGGATCACAGATTGTCCCACGTGGATGCTGCCACGGGCCTGCATGGAGTTTACCCTGCTGGTGCTAAAGCAGGCAGCCAGTTCCTGCACTCACTCTCCTATTCGCTATGTCCCACAAAGGATGGAGCATGACAGACCCCAGTGAACGTGGTTTGTTCCCACCAGTGCAAAAGCAGCCAGCCAGTTCCCACATTCATTTGCCCATGCATTCCCTCCCACAAGGGGTTGAGTAGGGCAGGCTGAGTAAATAGGGCACCCCTGTCACAAGTCCCAAAAAGGGGTTAAGAAAATATCCTGCATCAGATTTAATATAGATCCAGTTGCTCTTCATGGCTCACGTCTGTAATTCCAGAACTTTAGGAGGCCAAGGTGGGACTCACTTAAGCCCAGGAGTTTGAGGGCAGCCTGGGCAGCATGGCGAGACCTCAGCTCTATAAAAATTAGCCAGGTGCAGTGGTGTGCACAGGTAGTCCCAGCTACTCGGGAGGCTGAGAAGGGAGAACCATTTGAGCCTGGGAGGTTTAGGCTGCAGTGAACCATGATGGTGCCACTGCACTACAGCCTGGGCAATTGAGTGAGGCCCTGTCTCAAAGGAAATTTAAAAATTAAAAAAAAAAAATAGACCCACACATTCTTTGACATTCCTCCTTTCAAAAACTGGAGCTAATTCTTCTCTCTGTAGTATGTGCTATGTTTAGTGACTCATTTCTTAATAAATAAAAAGTGGTAAAGGTAAAGGTGACTTATGAAGCTTGGTCATAAAAGACACTGAGGCCTCTGTGCATGTGCATGCATCACTGGGGGAACTAGCCACTATGTTATGAAGACACCTAGATGCATGCACACGCCTCTGTGAAACTAGCCACTATGTTGTAAAGACACCTAGAAAGCCTTTTGGAAAGATCCATAGAAGAGGGAACCGAAACCTCCTACCAGCAGTGGTAAGGAAGTGAGGTCATGTGAGTGAACTGTGTTAAAAGTGAATCTTGGAGCCCCACTCGAGCCTTCAGAAGAGTACAATTTCATGAAACCCAAGCCAGAACCACCCATTCAGCTAAACTGCTCCTAGACTTCTGGCCAATAAAAACTGTATTAAAAGTATTTATTACCATTTTAAGTCCTAAGTTTTGAGGCATTTGTTACAGAGCCAACAGATAACTAATTCATCTATCTATCTATCTGTCCACCTATCTATCTATCTTTTATTTTTTGTACCAGATCCATTATTGCCTATTCTCAAAGATTATTAACTTTAAAAGTTTCATCCCAAACTTAATTTTCTCACTCAAACTATACTAGTTTCTCTATGTCAATAGAGCTTAACTTTTGGAAAGATCCCTCAAAATTTAAGTAGGACTACAAACTGGTATTCTTTTAGACTGTACTAGAAATATCCTCTTAAGGGTATAGTATATTAAGATCCTGGGTATGCTCTAATTTACCAGGTGGTGGTAGGAAAACAGGGGTATCAGAGCCAACCACTGTGCTGTATAACTGAATGCAAAAGAATGGTTCAACTTTCATTCTAGAATAAAAATATACACAGTAGCCCCTCCCTGTCCCTGGCACCTCTGGCCTTGCTTTCCAAGGTTTCAGTTATCTGCAGTCAATCATGGTCTGAAAATAGGTAAGTACAGTACAAGATATTTTGAGAGAGAAAGAGAGTATTCACTTACTTAAAATTGTTAATCTCTTACTTTGCCTGATTTATCAATTAAACTTTACCATAGGTATGTGTGTACAGGAAAACACATATTATATATAGAGTTCAGTACTATCTGTGGTTTTAGGCATCCACTAGGGATCTTGGAACACAACCCCTGTGGATAAGGGGAGACTACCATAATGAAGAACTAGGGTTCAACCACAATCAGATAAGAAGCATGTTACTGTTTCAAATTTTTGTTTTTTTAACTAAGTATTATAGTGATAGATGGGTTGTGTTCCTCAAATTCATCTTAAAATATTTTTCTAAGAAGAGTCAAAAATCCTAGATTTAAAGCCCACTAAATTCACCAATATACAAATTTGACAGGTATATTCATCAATGTCAAGTCATATATAATGATGACTACTTACTCTCAACATTTTTGAGCTATCCAGAAGTTCAGACTTTACCAGGAGCTTGAAAAAATAATTTACTAAAGCTTGATCCAGTCAAGATTCTGGCAAAGGTATAAAATAATGCTAGTAAGGTTAGCAAAACACAAGTGCAAAAAGAGCAAAAAATAAAAAGGGAAGGTATTTTAGGCTTATATTTTTCAATGTTCCCTTACCCCTGACCTCTTGGTTTGTTGCTTGGTTGGTTTTAAATACATTAGTTAATTGGCTTAAAACTAGTTTTTGATAAAATACTTTGAAAAAGCTGACAGCAAACAGAGACACAAATGATCAACATAATACTAGTTAACATAAAAAGCCACTGATAAATTCTTACCACCATAAAATCGAATCATACAGCCGAGGTCAGGATTTGTAGCCTCCTCCTGTATGCGCACAGGATCATCAAATCCCAGCCTGGATAAGTAATCATAAACGATCTGAAGAGGTCTTTCAGTAGGTTCCAGTCTCCTGATTGTACAATTCAAAAAAATATATATATTTGGTAAGTCATAAAAATGCTTCATTTAATTTTCTTATAGTTTTATTTATATTTATATAAATTTCAGAGGTACAAGGCTATTCTGTTAAATGAATATACTGCTCAGTAGTGAAGTCTAGGCCTTTAGTGTAATCATCACCTGAATAATGTACATTGTACTAAGTAATTTCTCATCCTTCACCCTCATCCCACCCTCCACTCTTCTGCTTTTCCAATGTCTATTACCCCACACTCTATTATTTAGTCTCCACTTGTAAGAGAGAACATGTAGTATTTGACTTTCTGTTTCTGAGTTACTTCACCGAAGATAATGACCTCCAGGTCCATACATGTTGCTGCTAATACATAACTTCATTCGTTTCCATGGCTGAGTAGTAATTCAATATACAAAATCTGCTCTTGATTTTCATTCCTAGGTCAAGATTTTCTTTAATGATTCTATGATACAACTAATCTAAACAAGTGATTTTTCTTAATTAGCTGGACACGGAGCCAGGTGCCTGTAATCCCAGCTACTCAGGAGGCTGAGGCAGGAGAACTGCTTGAATCCAGGAGGCAGAGGCTGCAATGAGCTTAGATCAGGCCACTGCACTCCAGCCTGGGTGACAGAGTGAGACTCCATCTCAAAACAAAACAAAAAAAAGTGGTTTTTAAATGTTTTGGTGTCAAGACCCCTTCACACTTTGATCCCAAAGAGCTTCTGTTTACATGAGTTCTATCTACTGAAATTTACCAAATTAGAAATTAAAATGGAGAATTTCCATTTATTTATTCACCTTAAAATAACTCCCTAAAAATCATTCTACTACATGGTCCTAATTTAAACACTAAGGTAAAATCAGAATGTCCTGAAATCACTTGTGGCCTCTGGTGACACTGTATTTTAAATTACAGACTTAAAATACTGAAAAATATTTAAAAAACAAAAATGAGGCTGGGCACAGTGGCTCACAACTGCAATCCCAGCACTTTGGGAGGCCAAGGCGGGCAGATCACAAGGTCAGGCTCTTTTATAATGCTTTTACCAGAAACCAAACAGTTATAAATACAGTGGCTAAACATATGGATTCCAACAGTCAACTGCAAGGGTTCAAGTCTTAGTCCTGCCACTTACCAACTGCATGCCCCAGTACAACTTATTTATTCCCACTGTTTTAAATCCTCATCAGTATCAAAGGAATAAACAATAGTATCTAACTCTGAAGATTTTTTAATTAATTTATTTACTTACAACAAGATACTATATAGTATAAAAGTGCTTAGCAAAGTATCTCACATGTAGTAAGTCTTCAATAAGATGTTGACAATTATTATTCTAAAAAATTTTAAGATTGGAATCAATTTTAGTGAGAATAAAAATAGAATATTTCTCCCAGCTCAAACAACAACCAAAAGCAAGCACAGGAAAGCCTGTATGTGTTCAAAAGGTCTGAGAGAACATTTAAAGAACTCTGTTTAAAAAACTTAAGAATTACATTATTAGTAACTGCAGGAAACATGAGGCTGGGCGTGGTGGCTCACGCCTATAATCCCAGCACTTTGAGAGGCCGAGGTGGGTGGATCACGAGGTCAAGAGATCGAGACCATCCTGGTCAACAAGGTGAAACCCCATCTCTAATAAAAATACAAAAATTAGCTGGGCACGGTGGTGCATGCCTGTAGTCCCAGCTACTAGGGAGGCTGAGGCAGGAGAATTGCTTGAACCCAGGAGGCAGAGGTGGCAGTGAGCTGAGATCGTGCCACTGCACTCCAGCCTGGGTAACAACAGCGAAACTCCATCTCAAAAAAAAAAAAAAAAAAGAAACATGATGTATTTCCCATCACGGCAAAAAGATATGAACAAGGTCTGCATTGTGTAGTTGAAGAACTAGAAAATGCTATTGGCAACAAGATTGAAGTAAAAAAGATCATGGAACACTATAAAGCTGAAGATAAATAACTGCAACAAAATAGGAATAGAAATCATACTGATGTACAAAAAAGACAAAAATAAAATAACCACCTGGCCTCTCCTGACTGCTCAGTTCAGTATTTTAGCTTCCAGAAACTATAAACTCAGAATAAACTGCTACATGGGGGAATGATCAAAGAACAAAAAGCTTATAATGACCAAGAAATTATTCTTGTCTGTGAAAAAGAAAAAGAAAAAAATAAAGACTGAATTAAAGAGAAATGGGAAATAAACTTTTCAGATTGTGGAGACGTCAATTACAATTAATCTCTAGCCAAAGAAAATCAAACTTTACAAAATTAATTGTCTATGATAACATTAGGCAGTTTCCCAGCACAATGGTGGGATTCTTCTGAAAAAGACACATTTTAAGGGGGACTTTTAATAAACTGCATCCTGGAGAGAGGTCAACTAACCACATAATATGAATAAACTGAAGGATTAACTTGAAGACAAGGAGAATAAGGATATAAAAAGAGAGATCTCGGTAGGGTACGGTGGCTCACGCCTATAATCCCAGCACTTTGGGAGGCCGAGGTGGGTGGATCACGAGGTCAAGAGATGGAGACCATCCTGGTCAACAAGGTGAAACCCTGTCTCTACTAAAAATACAAAAATTAGCTGGGCATAGCAGTACGCGCCTGTAGTCCCAGCTACTCAGGAGGCTGAGGCAGGAGAATTGCTTGAACCTAGAAGGCAAAGGTTGCAGTGAGCCGAGATCGTGCCATTGCATTCCAGCCTGGGTAACAACAGCGAAACTCCGTCTCAAAAAAAAAAGAGATCTTTAAATGTTGAGACGGATTGAACTTAATCTGCATTGCTCCAAAGAATGGGACTCGTAACAATGAGAAGGTGCATAGGCAGACTTAAGCTAAATATGAGGAAGAATTTTAACGATTAGAGATGCTCAACCATGAAACAAACTGCCTCTCAAAACTACTCAGAGAGACCTGGAGAAGGTGGGGCGTGGTGGCTCACGCCTGTAATCCAAGCACTTTGGAGGTCAAGGCAGGCGGATCACCTCAGGTCGGGAGTTCAAGAGCAGCCTGACCAACATGGTGAAACCCCATCTTTAAAAAAATAAAAATAAAAATAAAGAGAGACCTGGAGAGCCATCTGTCACAGATATTTTAGAAGAAAGACCTGTAATAATCAAACTGGGCCAGGTGATCTTTGGGGTATTTCAGAAATCAAGGTTCTATTAGGTATCTAAGACATCTTCCTAATATAATACAATGCTACCTGACCTCTGCTGTTCAATGTATTTAAACACCGTAATTCCATATAATGATCACATATTCCGGACGAACAAATAATTATACTTTCAGGCTAAATCTCATGTGCTCAATTTTTCTATTTCTCTCTAGGAAACTGAGAAACGGAAGCATCCTAATTCTGACATATTTTACATGATAAAATTTCTTGGCCTAAAAAGGCTCTGTAGACTGTGGAAACCCTTCTCATACATTTCTTTTCTTTTCTTTTCTTTTTAGACGGAGTCTTGCTCTGTCACCAGACTGGAGTGCAGTGGCGTGATCTTGGCTCACTGCAACTTCCATCTCCTGGGTTCAAGCGATTCTCCTGCCTCAGCCTCCTAACTAGCTGGGATTACAGGCATGCATCACCACACCTGGCTAATTTTTGTATTTTTAGTACAGACAGGGTTTCACCACATTGGCCAGGCTGGTCTCAAACTCCCCACCTCAAGTGATCCACTCGCCTTGGCCTCCCAAAGTGCTGGGATTACAGGTGTGAGCCACCATGCCCAGCCGTCCTCATACATTTCTACTCTAAGAAAGTATTTTCTTTCTTCTAAGTAAACGAGTAATATTTCAAGCAGTACAAAAACAAGTAAAATGAAGGACTAATTCCATTTACTACTCAGTCATCGGCTGAAGAGAGTAGACAGTATCGGGGAGAAAAACGTTGTAATGTGCTTACAGCTCAATTTTGTGTTTCAAATTCCAAAAGTTTAATAGTCTGGCAATTAGCTGTTTGTGAAATCTCTCACAAATCAAAAGGAAATTATAAACTGCAAAACAGGTGCGAGAGAAAGTAATGCTGGCAACAAAAAGTTCCATTGAGCACTTTCACTACTTCTACTACTGTTTTAAGGAAACAATAGTTTTGGAGTAACAGTTTTGATTTGCTTGGAATGCTTCTAAGAACTACTATAGTCCATGTAAATTTGAATATATGTGTATGTGGTAATTTCCTTCCAAACCAGCCAACAGATACAGCAATGCTATTAACAGCAGATTATACCTCTTAGCCAAGAGTAGAATCCTTCTATATTAGTTATTCTAAGCAGTCCCCATAGTTAAGATATATGTAAGAGAAGAGTAAATTTCATTCTAAGTATCATTTCACAAAAGTTTTAGCTAATAGTGGGGGGCCAACCCATACACTACTAAAATCAAACACATCTAATCAAAGACCCTAACAAAGTGCAGTACTACGCTCTGCATCAAATTCAGATTAAAACTTAATCCTTGACTGCCTATAAAGGTAAAATCTGCAAATGTTAAAATCAGTACTACAGATAATAATACAAATAGAAACAATAAGGATACTTCAACAAATGTTTATTTAATACCTGACACTATGCTAAAAGTGTTTAATTACTACAAAACTACATTATTCCTCAAATAAACACAAGATTCAGAGCCACACAATTAGTATACAACAAAATCAGAGTAGGAACCTGTGTTGGTTTCATAAAATATAGGTTCTTCTTTTCAGGCAAACCAAATTATTTTACATATAATTAAAATAATTTATGCAGAAGAGAGTTCAAGCCACTTTGCGTGTTAACTTATTCATATTTACCAAGAAACCTAAAAAAGTTATGTTTTAAAGTAACCATTATTTCATTAAGTCTAATATATCAAGATTTAAAAGGTACACTAAAATACACCACAGCTGAATAATAAAGAATATAGCCAGTCTTTGTCCTTGGTTCTTGGGAGGAGACTCTAATCTTTACCATTTGCTGAATAATAGGAGTGTCTTTGTTAC